TCCCGTGCCCACCAGCCCCCTCTGTCCTAAAACCATGTGTGACTTGTCACTACCCAGAGCCACTACCCAGCTCCCTCGGCAAAAAAAACAGAGGGAAAAAAGAGAGAACAGAATAATGATCTTATCCCGCCTCGTTAGAACCTGGCAATCCTCCCTCTTATTTCCTCTCTCCTTCCTGTCGTTGTTAGACAATAAGTTGAGTGGAGACTCTCTTAAGTGCTTCTGAAGTGGACCGTTTAGGAGCTTTTAGACGTCATGTTTTTTTTAAGTGGTGGCGGGTAGCGATGGATCGGTTGTATCTGGGAGTGGAGGGTGGAGAGAGCTGTGCCTGTTTTTCTGCCCATGAGGAGAAATGGTGAGTGGTGTGTGTGTATTTGCATGTGTGTCTGTATGTATCTAATGTGTGTGTGCGTGTGCATCAGGAACCCGATGGATGGATGATGGCATGGTGCGGGCGCCATGGCGACGTGCGGTGATGAAAGCCCACAGCAGGGTGAAGAGGAGGAGGAGGAGGAGCTGAGGGGGAGAAGCAGGCCAAGATGTGAGAGGAGGTGCAGCGGTCTCCATTCTCTTCGCCCTGCCAGGTCTTGATTATGTTAATTGGAATCATTAAGGGAACGACGAGAGATGTCACCTGCAGCTCACACAGCCCTGCACCTGCCACCATAATGACAGCATCATTATTATCACACACACACTGGGAAGAAGGGAGAGGGAGAGACAGGGGGACAATGGCAGCTCCCGAACAGCCGACTGACGTCATCCCAAATACTGATTCTATTCTATCCTACACCCCAGTTCCACTGGATATGAAGGAGTGGTCACCTGTCCAGGAACATGGTGGTTGTGTCCCAAATGGCGCACTATATTTGTGCACTACTTTTGACCAGGGCCCACCCTATGGGCCTTGGTCAAAAGTAGTGCACTACATGTGGAATAGGGTGCCATTTGGGATGAATCCATGGTTTGAGAATGTTATCTGACACAGTAAGACCCACTAGGCCCTGGCCCATGCTAGTATCTATGAATGAACCCTTCTCTTTCTATTGACTCACAATCAGAGGGAGTCTTCAATCTCAGCTTGATACTATTAGCAGTGAGAGGATTTCAATTGACAATGAACGATTATGAAGAATAATACTATCCATAGCGAATCTCTTTGCCCCACTAATTGTGAAATAAGTTTTATTGACTGGCAGACTGGCACCATTGCTGGCATCGCCAAGTCCACCTCATTATTGTCCCCACCCCCCGGCTACATCCATCTCTATCCCCCCCTCCCCCCCTCCCCACACAGCACCCGGCAAGCTGGCACAGCCCCCGGGCACTGTCTCCCTGCCCAGCTGCTCCTGTGGTTAGTGCCATAGAATGTAGCTACCACTGTATTGGTGTAAAGGCCAGCTATCCTACCAGCTATCGCTTATTGCCCAGGATCTAGCAACTCTCCTCTAGCCTGGCATTTCAGCATGTAAAGCCCAGGAAAGCCTCAGGCGTTTGGGGAATGTCCGGTCCTCTGCCATGCCACCCAGAGCCTTTCAATTAGCCCCACTGTCTGAGTTCTGAATGAGCAGAACCCACCACATAGCTCAGAGACGTGGGGATGAGTAGGTCTAGCTACTGATAAAACTGGTTGCTCCGAAGGCCTCTGAGGGCCAAGATAGTCAGGTCAAAGATCATAGGCCTGGTTTGCTTGGTGGTTCTGGTTAATTCATTTAGATGGGATAACTGAGCGGTGACATAATTAACCACCAATATTCAGTAAGGTACACAGTGAGATTTACAATCAATGAACAAATATATATAAAAATGCACATGCAACAATTTCAATGATTTTACTGAGTTACATCAGTCAATTGAAATAAATTCATTAGGCCCTAATCTATGGATTTTACATGAATGGGCAGGGGTGCAGCCATGGGTGGGCCTGGGAGGGCATAGGCCCACCCACTTGGGGGCTAGGACCTGCCAGTTTTTCCCCACAAAAGGGCTTTATTACAGACAGAAATACTCCTCAGTTTCATCAGGTGTCTGGGTGGCTGGTATCAGACTATCCCGCAGGTGAAGAAGCCGGATGTGGAGGTCCTGGGCTGGCGTGGTTACACGTGGTCTGCGATTGTAAGGCCGGTTGGACATACTACATTCTCTAAAACAACGTTGGAGGCGGCTTATGGTAGAGAAATTAACATTCAATTCTCTGGCAACAGCTCTGGTGGACTTACCTGCAGTCAGCATGCTAACTGCACGCTCCCTCAAAACTTGAGACATCTGTGGCATTGTGTTGTGTGACAAAACTGCACATTTCAGAGTGGCCTTTTATTGTCCCCTAGCACGAGGTGCACCTGAGTTATGATCATGCTGTTTAATCAGCTTTTTGATATGCCACACTTGTCAGATGGATGGATTATCTTGGCAAAGGAGAAATGCTCACTAACAGTGATGTAAACAAATTTGTGCACAACATTTTAGAGAAATAAGCTTTTTGTGCGTATGCAACATTTCTGGGATCTTTTATTTCAGCTCATGAAACATGAGACCAACACTTTACATGTTGTGTTTATATTTCTGTTCAGTATAAATGACCACAAATGCAAACGGAATGGGTTTCTAATCGCTGACTCTAAAATGGGGACAATGAACCTATTCTAATCTATTCTAATTGCACGGAGCACTTGAACTGTGATCACTTCGCTTCGAATCTCCCTACTAAACTCTGGGACCCCTGAAGAAAGTGTGAACAATGTAAGGCTCATTGTTTGTCTTCTGGCGTTAACTAGGCCACTTAGCGACCCGCCATGACGATGATCGGATCCCCAAGGCGTTGAACTTGGCAGCGTCGTCGTGCCCACGCCAAAATACGAATAAGCCCCCCCACATCGTCGTCACTCTGCCCCTATTCCCTCCCTCCCTCGCCATGGGAACCAGGCCATCTTTAAAAACGCAGGAGTGCTCGACGAAGCTCCCACAATGCAAGAGGGCTGACATCTGTCTCGCTAAGTGGGCGCACTCTAGTGCTCCTTGTTTGTTCCAATCGCCCCCGACCCCCCTCCTCCATCCTGTACCCTTTCTCTCTCTCTCCCCCTCTACACTCTAGTGTTCCTCCTGTGTTTCCATCACACTCCCCCTTACCTCTCTTCTATCCCCCCCCTCCCCCTCCCTCCCTCCCTCCCTCCCTCCAGAGAAGAGAGGAAGGAAGACGAGTCACATGGAATGTGAGGAGGAGAAGGGGAAGACATATGAAGCTTTTTTCTTATGAGATCTCAATCTCACTCAGCACTTCCCAGTATATACTGTATGACCCCCACTATAGGCTGAGATGACTTCCCTTTCATCATTATGTAAATGACGCAAGCAAAACATTCAACATACTTGGATTCAGTCTGCTTGGAATATCCAGCCAGTCAGTCTTGATCAATAGCACGTCAGATGGATGATTGAGATGTAGAACTCAGAGCTCAGACAACTCTGACAGGATATGTTAGTTTACCCTCGTCACCTCCCCACTCTACAGAGATGGGAAATAACAACAGCCCAGACCTTCACCTCCTTACTAACCAGACCCCCTAATTTGATTCTATATGTTAAGTCCAGAGCAAATATTATTCTCGTCAAACTCTTTTGTGGAAATATAGTCATCAACCCTTTGCAAATGCAAATGTAGGTCTAAATCCACGGGCCTCAATCAACGCAAGCATCCCCCGTAGCTTTATAAAACACTGAATGCAAATTGGTGTGAGTAAGTAAGTTAGCGGTGTTATTGACAGCTTGCCAAGGCTACACGATGTAAAGAAGAGCCTCCTTTATATTCCGCTGGGAATGTATGGATGTGTGGGATGAGTTCATTTTACCAGGCACACACACACACATGCACGCACAAACACACATGCACGCACACACACACACAAACACACATGCGCGCATATCCATGCATGCACGCACACACACACACATGCACTCACACATGCACAGGTTCCAGGAAATAAATGAATAATACTTGTTTTAGGCCGCTAACTGAAAACACTCAAGTGCATCTACAGGTTTAAAAGCTACAGTCTGAGATCTGGGACACTGTTCAATGGTCATTTCAACTAATGATACACCCATTGATTCTTGAGGAATGTAACTTATAAATGCCTCATAAGCTCAGTATAACCTTAAATTATCTTTGGTATAACAGATTTGAATTTTAGAGTGGTTACATTATCCCTCAGCTTAATACCAAACCAAGTTGTGGGGCGGGGCCACCGTTTTTGCTGAAACACAAACTCCAGATTGTGGCTTTAAGGATGAGAAGATGAATTCCCACCACAGTGAAAGAGCCAGGGGAGAAAGAGACAAGATGCCTTATACATACTGCAGTGTCTCATGCTGAAACAATTACCTCTGTTTGTTCCTCTAAAGTACCCATGTTCAATGCTGTACACACACCAGCTCTGCCTCCCAAATGGCACCCTATCCCCTATATAGTGCACTACTTATGACCACAGTGCACTAAATAGGAAATAGGGCGGCATTTTGGCAGTTCAGTGCTTTCAGATGTAACTGGAGTGTGGTGAAACTGCACTAAAACGTTTTAATAAAACATGGAGGCTGATACTACTGGAATACTAAATGTTTTCCCCATGTTTGTCTATGTAGATTATATTGCGTGAATATAAGCGCATCAAGGGTAAAAACCAAGTGATAGGCCAAAAATAGATAGACATTTTTATTTCACAAAAACAAAATGCAGTTCAGTTCAGATGAATCTAAACAAGTTATTCAACATTATTACACTGTCCGGTGTGGACGACTCATTCTGCCATAAGGTTGAACAGAAATGTGCATGACAAAAAATGTTAGTCACTTGTCAACAATCATTGGTGACATTTGCCTCCAAATCGTTTTTTCTCTGAATTAGAAATTCAGACTCACACATACAATACACATAATCAATGTCCATATCTGACATCACAATATAAATTATATTTACTGTCTAAAAACAATGACTTAAGTCGTCTGCTAAATGACTCAAATGTAAAATGTAAGTCATCAAAATAGGCTAGAGCAGGTGCTGTGAGACGGGAAACGAGCATTTAGGGCGATACTTTCGCACTGCAAAAAAATACTGTAAACCTCATTATAATCTCGCAGTGTAGGTTTTGTAATTGGCACAGTGCTTTTGCACTAGGAAAATGTCGCCCTTAAACTACAGTCTCTTCAGTTCCAAGTGCATGGAGGCCCCAGCCTCAATATTCCCCTCCTCTCGGCCAGTCTCACACTTGCATTCCTCCACCACCATCACGCGCTTCTCCCGCTCCTCCATCCCACAGCGCAGAGGCACGGTCACTGTGTGGGCCTTGGATGGCGCGCAGCGGGAACAGGGCGCACGGCGGTGTCCCCCTGCACTGGTCAGCCTGGCGGACTCCCAACCAGACGGGACGAACAGTGAACTGCATTGACCGAAGCACAGTTTGTTGTGGACCGTCACCGTGTCGCAGCCCTCGGACGTTATCCGCTGTACATGGAAGATATAATTTTTTTTTTAATTGGACTACCATTAAACATTTCGTATTTTGATGGTTCAAGCATTAGGCCCTACTTATAAAACATTTCTCCCTTTTAACTTTCTAATTTAGGCTAATCATTTGATTAAACATTAAGCCTACTGTACTCTACTGGCCTACACCATCTTTGTCATTGTTAACCACAATTGAAAGGTTTGACTCACCTGAGTAAAAGGCACGGCGGCGCAGCTCTGTTTGTTGGCAGAGTCCTTCAGACTGAGGGGCAACGACATGGACATGGTCTTACTGTGGTCGTTCTTATCCATGGCCCTCTGCCACATCTCAAATCCCTGCCTCTTCTTCATACCCACCCCACCATTGCCCTGACCGTCGGGGTGCAGGTGTGACAGTGGATGCAGAGGCACCGTAGCTGCTTTGGCAGGGAGCGCAGGAGGGCCAGGACGTCCCATGGACAAGAAGGCCGGGAAAGGCATCCTCGGACCGGGTGCGCCTCGGGGGAAAATCCCGCCTCGTCTAAAAAGACCCGACTGACCCAGGTTATTGGGGTTAAATTTGACTACTTTGACCGTTCCCCGGATAGGCTTCTGTTCATCGACTGGACCGTTACCGGATGATTCAAAGTCCCGGCTCGCGCCCATCTTCGGAACACTCTTGATGGAGTTGTGAGGGAATGGAAGTGCCAAAGCCACGGCAGCAAATGTGGACAAAAACACAAAGTTGATGAAGAAAGTCATTTTTTCCTCAACAAAAATAGAAAATCACATATACAAATGTGAAGAAAATCTTAGATATTTCGTTCCAGATTTCAGAAAAACCTAATTATTCGCCAGCAAATAAATCAATAATCAATTGGTTGTCTATATTTGAGTGGTTCAAGGTTCCAAATGGAGACCTTGCTGTCAGTCTGGGCTATGAGACACTGGAGTTGGTGGCAGCCTTTTATAAGGACCGACCAACCAACCCAGCCTTCACCTCTTGGAAGGTGTCATAATTCCCATGCTAATGGTCGGTATATCACACCTAGTATTTAGGATTTTATTAGGATCCCAATTAGCAGTTGCTGAAGCAGCAGCTACTCTTCCTGGGATCAACACAAAACATAAAACATGACATAATACAATAAAAACATATTTCTTTAAACATCAAGAACCGCCCAAGGACTGAACTACACCTGCTGGGTCGTATAAGATCCATTGACATTTACAACTTCAAAGGGTTTCAGTTTATTACAGGTGGGTGTTTGAAAGGTGGTTCCAACATTTGAAGTAGTCCTATTGAGTTTTGCTAGACTCTGAGGATGTGAGTTTGAGAGGTACCCCGTATCAACTAAGAATAATACCTAGCCAAACAAGGGGCTTTCATTACATGTGGTGGTAAAGTCATAATGGGTTTATGTTCCGAGGATAAAAAGCCCAGCTCCCTTGTTATGGCCCGTCATAATACCATTAGAGTCCTGTGTTCACTCACCCATGACCTGATCAGTCATTGGCTGTCTGGAGTTCTAGAACCCTGCTAGGAGTTCCCATGGACAGGCTCGGTGTTAATTGACACATTCACTTTCCCATCCTCACCCCCATTCTACCACTTTCCCATCCTCACCCCCTTTCTACCACTTTCCCATCCTCACTCCATCCCACCCCCATTTCTTCACCACTTTCCCATCCTCACCCCCATTCTAACCACTCCCATCCTCACCCCACATCCCATCACCCCCATTCTACCACTTCCCACCCTCCCAGGCGACCACGGGCCCAGCCCCACCCCAGGCGACCACGGGCCCAGCCGCACCCCCAGGCGACCACGGGCCCAGCCCCACCCCCAGGCGACCACGGGCCAGCCGCACCCCCAGGCGACCACGGGCCCAGCCGCACCCCCAGGCGACCACGGGCCCAGCCGCACCCCCAGGCGACCACGGGCCCAGCCGCACCCCCAGGCGACCACGGGCCCAGCCCCACCCCCAGGCGACCACGGGCCCAGCCGCACCCCCAGGCGACCAGGGCCCAGCCCACCCCCAGGCGACCACGGGCCCAGCCCACCCCCAGGCGACCAGGGCCCAGCCGCACCCCCAGGCGACCACGGGCCCAGCCGCACCACCAGGCGACCACGGGCCCAGCCCACCCCCAGGGACCACGGGCCCAGCCGCACCCCAGGCGACCACGGGCCCAGCCGCACCCCAGGCGACCACGGGCCCAGCCGCACCCCCAGGCGACCACGGGCCCAGCCCCACCCCCAGGCGACCACGGGCCCAGCCGCACCCCCAGGCGACCACGGGCCCAGCCGCACCCCCAGGCGACACGGGCCAGCCGCACCCCCAGGCGACCACGGGCCCAGCCGCACCCCCAGGCGACCACGGGCCCAGCCGCACCCCCAGGCGACCACGGGCCCAGCCCACCCCCAGGCGACCACGGGCCCAGCCGCACCCCAGGGACCAAGGGCCCAGCCGCACCCCAGGCGACCACGGGCCCAGCCGCACCCCCAGGCGACCACGGGCCCAGCCCCACCCCCAGGCGACCACGGGCCCAGCCGCACCCCCAGGCGACCACGGGCCCAGCGCCACCCCCAGGCGACCACGGGCCCAGCCCACCCCCAGGCGACCACGGGCCCAGCCCACCCCCAGGCGACCACGGGCCCAGCCGCACCCCCAGGCGACCACGGGCCCAGCCCCACCCCAGGCGACCACGGGCCCAGCCGCACCCCCAGGCGACCACGGGCCCAGCCGCACCCCCAGGCGACCACGGGCCCAGCCCACCCCAGGCGACCACGGGCCCAGCCGCACCCCCAGGCGACCACGGGCCCAGCCGCACCCCAGGCACCACGGCCCAGCCACCCCCAGGCGACCACGGGCCCAGCCGCACCCCCAGGCGACCACGGGCCCAGCCGCACCCCCAGGCGACCACGGGCCCAGCCGCACCCCAGGCGACCACGGGCCCAGCCGCACCCCCAGGCGACCACGGGCCCAGCCGCACCCCCAGGCGACCACGGGCCCAGCCGCACCCCAGGCGACCACGGGCCCAGCCGCACCACAGGCGACCAGGGCCCAGCCGCACCCCAGGCGACCACGGGCCCAGCCCACCCCAGGCACCACGGGCCCAGCCCCACCCCCAGGCGACCACGGGCCCAGCCGCACCCCAGGCGACCACGGGCCCAGCCCCACCCCCAGGCGACCACGGGCCCAGCCCAACCCCCAGGCGCCCACGGGCCCAGCCGCACCCCCATTCAACAACTTTCCAATCCCATTCTACTTTCTTCCCATCCTCACCCCCAATTATACCACGTTTCCCAATACCCGAAAACCCCAATTTCTAACCACCACTTTCCCATCCCCACCCCCATTCTACCATCTCACCCCCCTTCTACCACTTTCCCATCCCCACCCCCATTCTACCACTTTCCCATCCTCACCCCCATTCTACCACTTTCCCATCCTCACCCCATTCTACCACTTTCCCATCCTCACCCCATTCTACCACTTTCCCATCCTCACCCCCATTCTACCACTTTCCCATCCTCACCCCCATTCTACCACTTTCCCATCCTCACCCCCATTCTACCACTTTCCCATAGGCAGGTTCTATCTGTTAGACAACTGACCAAGTGAAGTTTAGAATTACTGTTACTGAGTGAAGTGACTGTTACGGATTACAAAAATGTATGCACGCACTGCTGTTAGTCCCTTTGGATGAAAGCGTCTGCTAAATGGCATATATTATTATTATAACTCAATGTTACTTAATGTTCCCAGACCGGTGACTGACCAGGATACTGTGATACTGCCTCTGACACTTCAGACATATTCCACAGGAGGGAGTAGTTGTCAAAGCGTTTTTCCTGTTCACTAGACTGCTATTCATCATAAATTCACATATAGATCTACCATAAACCCTAAGCAGACCCTAAGCACCACAATAACCACAGTCTACTGACAAGGCGGCTTCATTTGCAAGTCCCATTTATTATGCTGTTGTCTCTGGTCTGGTTGGACTACCCTGCCTGGGTCAGGCTCTGTTCTCTGTGTTGCTGCTGGTCTAATAAAAGGTGTTACCTAGTCTGACGAACAACACTACTGACACCATCATGGACGCCAACTGTAACACACACACAACAAAAAACACACACATTAGGCCATGGGAAACACATTGAGGCGTCATGAACACACACCACATGCCACGGGAGGGAAACTACAGTATATCTCGAACTTTGACTCTTTCTGACGAAATGGTTTAGTCGGCTTTGCTGACAGTTCATTCATGTTGTAATGGTGTTGTTTGCGTCGCGCGAGCGCACACACACACACACACAACTACGTTTTAACACAAAAGTCTAACTTTGGGCTAAGTTAACGTTTCAGTTCATTTGTGTGGAGGTGGTGTTAGTGGTTGTAGAGTCTCTCTCTCTCAGAAGGACAGTGTCATGAATGGAGTCATTTCAATAGTGGATGCCAAGGCAGATAAGACTAAGTCTGCATCCCAAATGGCACTATATTCCCTACTGTACATGGTGCACTACCTTTGATCAGAGTCCTATGGGCCCTTACTTACAAAATGGTGACCACAATGGAAACCATCTTTGGCTGTTATTGGTCAATGTCTCTACCCTCTAGTCATGCTGTTCCCATATACGTTTGGGCAACTCTCACCATATATGTTTAGCCAACTCTCACTATATAAGTTTGGGCAACTCTCACCATATAAGTTTGGGCAACTCTAACCATACAAGTTTGGGCAACTCTCACCACATATGTTTGGGCAAATCTCAAAGGACACTTACCTCCATGACACAGATGCCAGAAGCGGTGGAGCCAAAGATGACGCTCTGGTCCTGGATCACATTGATCAGTTTGGTAATGCAGCTCTGGTGATCGGCAGATAGATAAAGAGGCCGTTACCATCTGTTTCTTCACAAGACATGGCCACTACCCAAGTTAGGATTTGTCCCTTAGAAATGGACAAAGCAGTAATGGCTTTTCTCACTACTACATCCACCATAGTTACTGGAACCGTGCTGAAAAGGACAAACACATGAAGAAAATATCCAAACCAGCACAGTTTGACGTGGGTCAACACGATAGTGTGAAAAGGGTCAGAGTCGTTCCAGCTATGGTGGATGCGTAACCAGGCCAGCTCGGTACAGCTTGGTTTGGCTCGGCTTATTCATGTGGAAAAGTGTACCCTACCTTTGGGTGTATCAGGCCCTGGGTGGTGTCGAGGCCGTCGCAGGCGGTGCTCGTCAGGTCAACACAGCACGTCTTGGGGTACAGCAGGCCAGTGTTAGCACTGAACACAGAGTTCTTGAAGTCAGCCGTGGAGTTGTCAAAGCCACAGCACTTGTACTGCACACAGTAGAGAAAGGCAGAGTGTTGAGACAGTGAAACAGGTGGGCTTCTATTGGTTCCCATTGACAATTTCGATGGGCTTACATGTTTCTTCCGGAGCTTTTGCACATGTACAGTAAAGAATGGCAGATCTAGCCTGAAAACCAGACCTGTTTTGTGCAAAAATTCCATTCCTTGTAGTCCATGTCATATGCCAAAGTTTGGCATGACAAGGAGAGGCAAGAAGTGGAATGATAGACCCAGGATATGGTAGATCCTACTGGTATTAAAGCGGCAATCAGCAGTAAAAACAATAACCCGTTCTCCCCACCCGTTTCGGTAAAAAGCTGAGGGATGGGGCTGGAGAAATGTTACCACTCTCAAGTTCATAGACAGAGCTATGGATGCAAGGACTGACCATCCATGATATAAAAATGATAGTTTTAACCATGTTTTGAGGCTATACAGTGTTTGTTTACATTTACTTTGTTAACAAACATTGGAATGAAATAAGCTTACAGTATATTTTGGGTTCTGATGGGGTACGACAGTTGAACTAAGCTCATGAGGCATTTATAAATTATATTCCTCAAGAATCAATGGGTACATATCATTAAAGTCCAAAAATGAATGTAGCAACTGCTGATTGCCCCTTTAAGGTCAGAGTTCACATAGCCCACTCACATGGACCATGATGGTGTTCCAGGCTGTTGATATGGGGTCTGCAGCCGTCGGTCCCATATAGGACATCCGTAAAGAGTCCTTACTGGCTCCACGAATCGTAACCTCCACCTGAAACACAGGAAGTCACCCAATAATTTACCCCAGTGCTTGACTGTTAATTAAACCAAGACAACTTTACAGCATCTTTGTAGCAGTTCAGACAGTAAGGCTGTGAGTATACTATCTGTGCTTTGTAGAGTTTCTTTGTTGCAGTTTAGACAGTGAGCGTGAGTAGGTAATCTGTGCTAAATAGTCTCTTTTGTACTTTACAGTATCTTTGTTGCAGTTTAGATGGTGAGAGTGACTAGATCATCTGTGCTAAATACAGTATCTTTGTTGCAGTTTAGACAGTGAGGATAGGGTCCATGTGGATTGTCTGTGCTTTGTACAGTATCTTCTTTACAGTTTAAACAGTGAGGGTGAGTGGATAATCTGTGTTTTGTACAGTAGGGTTGTTACAGTTGAGACAGTGAGGGCATGAGAGTGGATCGTCTGTGCTTACCAGATCTTTGTACACCAAGATGAAAATAACTCCGGTAACCTCAGCCGCAAACATCATGGACACAATGAAGAAATACTGTCAGAACAAGGAGAGGGTTAGAATCAACCATATCATAGTTCCAAAGGTGAGCAGGACAAGAACTGTATACTCTCTATACCGGTGCATCCCCACTTCCTGCTCTCCTGTGACCAGTGACCTATGACCCTCTAGTGTACAAATTAAAGTGACGCTACAGATGTTTTGTATAATTTCAGCCAGTAGTTTTGAAAGTTGTGCTCACGAGCTAAAACGGGTCCGGGAAAATCATGCACAATTGTGTACATCATCCATTTCGTATGATATGCTACGTCCTAAAAAAAATATTTTTAAAAAATCATGCAATTCTTACACTATGTTAGCAAATCCAATTCGTACGATACGTTACGAATTTGTAAGTGCTTAAGATCCCGTTCAATCTCTTTAAGTGGACTAGACAAAGACTATGGAGCAACCTTCATCAAATCTCAGCCGTTTCATGTATTTGAACCATTTCAGAACTTGCCTAGAACACCTGATTCAAGTAATAATCAAGCCCTTGACTACTTAAATCCAGGGCCCGTTCAGGACACAACATTTTGGAATGTTCAGATAGAAATATGTTACGTAGAACAAACATACCTCTCCGACATGTAGAACAAGGAATCATGTTGGCTCTATTCATGGCATTACTATCTGCAACGTTTGACAACTGAACGTGGCCCAGGTTTACTAGCTCAGGGCTGCAATAAAATTGTTTGAGAAACAAGCCTATAGACTACACTACACTACACAACAACCACATAAGTAGGCCAAAATGGCTCCTTCTAACAGACTCGCAACCAATACCAAGCCTTTATGTAGACTACACTCCACAAAGAGCGACCCAACTCTCTTCTAGACTGAGCCCCAAATGGCACCCCATTCCCTATTTAGTATCACACCCCCCGCCCCCACCAAGTTATACTGTTACTGAGGTTTATATCTTTAGAAACGACAGGGGGAATTTGAATGTCATGCTTGTTTTATGATTTAAAAGTGGAACATGAATTGCCTCATTCAAGTCACGAGTGTGTCCCGAAGTTAAAGGGTTTATTGATCCGTTTCGACAGCAACAGAGGGCCCTCAGAGCGAGTTGGTAGGTGCGAGGGGGTGGTCTGGGATTCACGGTCTCTTACCAGCATGATGAGGCAGCGGTTCTCGCTCCAGGCCCCGTAGCAGCCAATGAACCCCAGCAGAGACAGGATGGCCCCCAGGCACATACACACGTAGCTGATGGTCACCAGCTGTGCCGAAAAAGAGCCCATCACCTGGACAAAGGTGGCCGCACCATACCTGATCCACACACCCAGGCCAAACAGCACAAGGCCACTCACCTGGATGGGGGAAGAGATGGACCATAGAGTTAGAATGACTAGAATGGAAGGACCTTCTGATTTAAGACAGTGTTCTGTTGGTGAACTGGCCAGGCGAACATATTGGGGTAGAGAATGAGATTTGCATCCATGTGATTGAGGGTATTGATAGAGTGTATTGACATTGGATGTACTCATTGGGTGAATTAACATGAGATTGATCATATTGATGCATTTATCATCATTATCGTGTTTTCCCCAACATTTATTGTAGACGCGAGCTAAGAGTTGTTCATACTAGATTCTGAAATGATTGCAGGGCCTCAACTAAACTGTATTGAATTTAAAAAGGTGGACTATCCTGAGCATACCATCTGTAACACGTAGGCCAGTTTCCTGGAACAGATTAAGCATAGTCTTGAACTAAAAAGCTGTTTCAATGGAGATTCTCTGAGGTCTGATGATTCTATCAAACTTTCACTCCAACCTACACGTAGTAGCGAATGTAATCGTTCTGCAGTGCGGATCTGATTGAGGTCCAGCCTAATAGTCTCTTATGGTATAATCTACAGATATATAAAATATATATATATTACAAAAGCATACAAAAATGCGGTACACTTACAAATATGATGCCACTGAGTAGCATCATCAGGTACCTCAACAGGCCATACAGGTGATGTAGTCTGGACATGGCTGACTGCGCTGTAATGTCATGAACCGAATGGTTCAATCTATGGAAACCATACATACAGTTTAACATTTTTCTCATAGACTTACGATCTGGTCGTTTTCAATACTTTCAATAACTAGCTACTACAGGCATGGATATTTCATATTCATTTGTACAAATTTGCATTTTTTTGCTAGTTATCTAGACGTTAGCTAGATACTGTATCACCCTTGCTTTAATAATCACCAGAAGAAGAATACATTGGCCAAAGGCAAAGCTAAAACTTACGAAATTCCTTATTTGCTGTTCAATAATTGACAAATCCGTCAATAGCACTTGCATTCTCAATTACCTTTTTGTAGGCCTGCTGACACGCTAACTTGCTATAGGTATGTTATTTTGACAGGGGCACGAGCACGAACCTTCATGTCAATGCGCACCCGTTTCCAAGGGCAACGCAGGTCTGGGTCATGAGGTCATAATCAGAGGTGTCACGATTAACATTTCGTAACAATGGATGTAGCTGAGGATACAATGTAGATAACAATAACTTTATTTATATTGTGCTTTTCAATACCAACCTGGTTTCAGAGCATTTCGTATTATTCTGTATGTAAATCTGAGGCACTCTATATAGTACGATATGTTACGTTTTGTATGGTATGTATTGAGGATGTCCAAACCCATTGTATGCTATGTTACGAATTACAAATCGTATTATATGTTAAAAATTTGAAAACTGTACAATATGTTACGAATTCGCCAAACGTATGATATGTTACGAATTCTAGCTAGGTGGCTAACGTTAGCTAGTCTAGGGATTAGGGTTAAGTTTAGGAGTTAAGTTAAAGGGTTAAGGTTAGGAAAATGGTTAAGGTTAGTGTTAGCTAAAAGGGTTAGGGGAAGGGGTTGCAAAGTAGCAAGTAGTTGAAAAGTTGCTAATTATCCGTGATGAGGTTCAAGTCCGCAACCTTTGGGTTGCTAGACGTTCGCCTTATACGGCCACCCAGCCAATCACTCTGCTTTCATTTAATTATCCATCTGTCTTATGTAACCATACCAAAAGTAACATATCATACTAATTTGCATTTCCCGGATTTACATTTACTATGTTATGTCTAGTCTATGAGTCCAGGCTGTCAATACAGGTAAAAGTGCTTCATATCATAAAATAAAAGTACTAACAAAGAAACAAAGACAGGAGGAAGGATAATGAAAAATAAATAGCTAATTAAAATAATTCATTAAAAATCATACATTAAAAGCATCTTAATAAAAGTATTGTCTTCAGCAGGGTTTTAAAAAGAGTAGCCTAGTAGATACCAACTTTAGGTAAATATGATTTAGAAACTATTGCAAATAAGAACATTTTAATAATTTCCTGGTAAAGAATAGAACAAGAAATAAAACAAGTCAAATGTTATGTGGTAATTTCTAAACTTCAATATTTATATGTACAAAAAGAGACACTGTATATCCATTCAAGACAGCTGAAGAAATAACAACAACAAAAAACTAATCAAATGTCTTGCCAGTTACAGCAATCACTTTTCTCAACACAAAACGTCATACATTCATGTAAAGTTTTCAGCTTGTGCAAGAAACAAATAAGGATACAGCGATAAAGGAATCTAATTTAAACATCATAAAATATGAACTGAATGCGTACAGTAGGCTCTATACAGTATATGTGCACAGATATTGTTGATATACCATGGAGCTGATTGATTCACAACAGGGTTTTGAACAAGGCTGTTTTTCTTTTATAACTGAAATATTTTAATACATCTTTGGTGTTTGAAATTAAACATGTCGACTGAAGGTGTCAAGGTGATGCCATGATGATGATTAAACAGGCGTGGTCATTGATAGTCATGGATGTCAGTGCTATTTGTTACCAATCTGTTGGTAGAGAACCATTGACACCACCATGGCGGCAATCTGAAACGATGACAGGTCACAAGTGTTAACACAATATAATAGTTACGTTCCAAATGGCACTACTACTGTTGACTAGGGCCCAAATGGCATTCTATTACCTTTATAGTGCACTACTCATGAACAGGGCCCATAGGGCTCTGGTCAAACGTTGTGAACTACAGTGCCTTCGAAAGTATTCAGACCCCTTGACTTTTTCCACATTATTCTAAAATTGATTAAATAAAATCTCAGCAATCTAAACACAATACCCCATAATAACAAAGCGAAAACAGATTTTTTAGAAATGTTTGCAAATGTATAAAAAATAAAAAACAGAAATACCTTATTTACATAAGTATTCAGACCCTTTGCTATGAGACTCGAAATTGAGCTCAGGTGCATCCTGTTTCCATTAATCATCCTTGAAATGTTTCTACAACTTGATTGGAGTCCACCTGTGGTAAATTCAATTGATTGGACATGATTTGGAAAGGCACCCACCTGTCTATATAAGGTCCCACAGTTGACAGTGCATGTCAGAGCAAAAACCAAGCCATGAGGTCGAAGGAATTGTCCGTAGAGCTCAGAGACAGGATTGTGTCGAGGCACAGATCTGGGAAAGGGTACCAAAAAATGTCTGCAGCATTGAAGATCCCCAAGAACACAGTGGCCTCCATTATTCTTAAATGGAAGAAGTTTGGAACCACCAAGACTCTTCCTAGAGCTGGCCGCCCGGCCAAACTGAGGAATCGGGGGAGAAGGGCCTTGGTCAGGGCAGTGACCAAGAACCCGATGGTCACTGACAGAGCTCTAGAGTTCCTCTGTGGAGATGGGAGAACCTTCCAGAAGGACAACCATCTCTGCAGCACTCCACCAATCAGGCCTTTATGGTAGAGAGTGACCAGACGGAAGCCACTCCTCAGTAAAAGGCACGACAGCCCACTTGGAGTTTGCCAAAAGGCACCTAAACGACTCTCAGACCATGAGAAACAAGATTCTCTGGTCTGATGAAACCAAGATTGAACTCTTTGGCCTGAATGCCAAGCGTCACGTCTGGAGGAAACCTGGCACCATCCCTACGGTGAAGCATGGTGGTGGCAGCATCATGCTGTGGGGATGTTTTTTCAGCGGCAGGGACTGGGAGACTAGTCAGGATCGAGACAAAGATGAACGGAGCAAAGTACAGAGAGATCCTTGATGAAAACCTGCTCCAGAGCGCTCAGGACCTCAGACTTGGGCGAAGGTTCACCCTAAGCACACAGCCAAGACAACGCAGGAGTAGCTTTGGGACAAGTCTCTGAATGTCCTTGAGTGGCCCAGCCAGAGCCCGGACTTGAACCCGATCGAACATCTCTGGAGAGACCTGCAAATAGCTGTGCAGCAACGCTCCCCATCTAACCTGATAGAGTTTGAGAGGATCTGCAAAGAAGAATGGGAGAAACTCCCCAAATACAGGTGTGCCAAGCTTGTAGCGTCATACCCAAGAATACTCTATGCTGTAATCGCTGCCAAAGGTGCTTCAACAAAGTACTGAGTAAAGGGTTGAATAATGATGTAAATATGTTATCCGTTTAAAAATAATAATAATTTAGCAAACATTTCTAAAAACCTGTTTTGGCTTTGTCATTATGGGGTATTGTGTGTAGATTGATGAGGGTTGGAAAACAATTTAATCAATTTTAGAATAAGGCTGTAACGTAACAAAATGTGGAAAAAGTCAAGGGGTCTGAATACTTTCCGAAAGCACTGTATGTAGGGAATAGGATGCTATAGGATGGTATTTGGGATGCAGATAGTATTGTAACAGGTACTGTACCTCAAGGGCAGCGATGCCCAGTCCCACAGCTCCAATGATGACAGCGTTGTCCTCGATCAGGTTCAGCAACATATTAAAGCAGCCAATGACTTCCTGGGGAAGAAACAGTACTACAGTATTAGAATTAGATAGATGTAGATAGGGGATTCATTGATTAAAAACACACAAACACAGGCTATTAAATGTCAAACCTAGCCAGGGGAAGGAGTTTTTCGTGACCCCACCAAGAATGGTCAAGTCCAAGGACCCAGAGTTTTACCTGGTCAGGTACCAGTGTAAGGAAACACTCCTGATCTAAACAAAGCACATAGGATGACCCTGTACTGTATTATTAGATATCTGTACCGAAGACTCCGCAGCTGGTTCCATGCAAGTGGCAGTGTTCTTGCAACATGTGAGTGGGTAAACAGAGATAGTTGGGTTCCCTTGAAAGGGAGATCCATCGAAGTCTGTGTAATTGCGGAATCCACAGCACTTGAACTAGGAGGGAAGCACAAAGACAAATCATTATTACATGGTAGCATCTACAGAACACAGTAAGCAACTAGCTTAGCAAAGCACCACTGCCTTCTCTGAAACCTGTAAATAATCTGTATAAGAACATATGTATTTCTTGAGTATACAAATGTGAGCTAATAACATCCACTGGCATAGTGGCAATAGATTCACTACTTAATATAGTAGTATGAATGAATGAATGAAGTATACCTGTTCCATGGTGCCATTCCATAGTGAAGTCAGGCTCCCATCATTCCCATAGTCTTTTTTAATGCTGGCAACAACCTTCTCACTAAGGTCCTCAAGAATTTCCTTAGCCTAAAACATACAAACATAACACAAACTCATTTCCACAAATTCATAAAAGCTTTACTGTCCCAACATTAGGCAATGTGATTTATAACTGTATAAAAACTGTTTTCATCTGCCAACATGAACAAAACCACCACCAGCATAGCCAAATAAAGTTTCAAACGTTCACCCTATTTACTAATTAGTGCACTGCTTTTGACCAGGGCCCGTGTTAATAGCTACCTACCAGTGGTTGGAAGACTAGGACCAGAATGCACCCAGCCACCTCTGCAATGAATATGATCAGGATGATGATAAAGAACTGGAAAGGAACAGACAAGCATACAATGGTTAAGGGTTTGATTTTTTAAAAAATGTTTAAAAAGGGGTCAAAACTATGACCAATATGACATCAGGTCAAAATTCTATAAATATAATTGTATTGGCTATCAACATACAACATCATTTTGTGATCAGGATGATAAATAACTGGAAAGAATAAAAATGGCGACAGGCAAGCATACAGTGACCAATTACCAAGCAAAAGATAATGGGTCAAAACTATCACTATGACATTATGTCAAAGGTCAAGATAGCCCTATTTGGTAAAAGACCAAGTCCAGATTATGGCAAGAACAGCTCAAATAAGCAAAGATAAATGACAGTCCATCATGACTTTAAGACATGAAGGTCAGTCAATTCTGAACATTTCTAGAACTGAAAGTTTCTTCAAGTGCAGTCGCAAAAACCATCAAGCGCTATGATGAAACTGTCTCACATGAGGACCGCCACAGGAATGGAAGACCCAGAGTTACCTCTGCTGCAGAGGATATGTTCATTAGCGTTACCAGCCTCAGAAATTGCAGCCCAAATAAATGTTTCACTGAGTTCAAGTAACAGACACATCAACATCAACTGTTCAGAGGAGACTGTGTGAATCAAGCCTTCATGGTCGAATTGCTGCAAATAAACCACTACTAAAGGACACCAATAAGAAGAAGAGACTTGCTTAGGCCAAGAAACACGAGCAATGGACATTAGACCAGTGGAAATGTGTCCTTTGGTCTGGAGTCCAAATTTGAGATTTTTTGGTTCCAACCGCCGTGACTTTGTGAGATGCGGCGGTGTGGGTGAACGGATGATCTCTGCATGTGTATTTCCCACCGTAAAGCATGGAGGAGGAGGTTGTTATGGTGTGGGTGCGCTTTGCTGATGACGCTGTCTGTGATTTATTTAGAATTCAAGGCACACTTAACCAGCATGGCTACCACAGCATTCTGCAGCGATACACCATCCCATCTGGTTTGGGCTTAGTGGGACTATCATTTGTTTTTCAACAGGACAATGACCCAACACACCTCCAGGCTGTGTAAGGGCTATTTGACCAAGAAGGAGAGTGATGGAGTGCTGCATCAGATGACCTGGCCTCCACACCGCAGAGTGAAGGAAAAGCAGCCAACAAGTGCTCAGCATATGTGGGAACTCCTTCAAGACTGTTGGAAAATCATTCCAGGTGAAGCTGGTTGAGAGAATGCCAAGAGTGTGCAAAGCTGTCATCAAGGCAAAGGGTGGATATTTGAAGAATCTCAAATATAAAATATTTTTGATTTGTTTAATACTTTGTTGGTTACTACATGATTCCATATGTGTTATTTCATAGTTTTGATGTCTTCACTATTATTCTACAATGTAGAAAATAGTAAAAATAAAGAAAAACCGTTGAATGAGTAAGTGTTCTAAAACTTTTGACCGGTAGGGTACACAATTATATATTTATAGACTTTTGACCTAATGTCATAGTGATAGTTTTGACCCATTACCTTTTGCTTGGTAATGGGTCACTGTATGCTTGTCTGTCGCCATTTTGTTTCTTTCCAGTTCTTTATCATCATCAATAAAAGGAGGAGAAGAAAAAAAGGAACAAATATTGAATGAATCTTTCCATACCAGTATGTAAATTCAAAAATAAACAGAGTAAAAGTCAAGTTGGTATTTGTATTAAATCGATGTATGAATATTTATGTTCAATGGTCAAAGGTGACTCACCAGCATCAGCATACACCTGGACTCCTTCATGGCTCCACAGCACCCTAGGAAGCCCATGATCAGCAGGACAACTCCAACCCCAATGAGCAGGTAGGCCACGTTAGCCAGCTGGCCCAGTTCTGCTGGGGCATCCTCAATGTTGTCTAACACGCCCAGTAGAGAGCCACTGTCCACCTTCACCCACACCCCCACCGCCAGGATGGCCACACCCGCCAACTGATACACACAACAGGGAGAGAGAAAGAGGAGAAATAGGGGGAGGGGGTAGATTTAGTGTTTGGGACAATGTTGATGAAGAGCACAGGGAGTATACTTTCAATACTCTGAAAACTCCAAAGCATATCATAAGAATGCATCGTGGAGAAAAGCTGAGTATAAGTGGGGAAAGTGTTGTCAACATCATACAAAATGTGGTAATCTACGCAACCATTACCTTTAAAAAAATAATAATAATGTAAATCCCAAACCCACAGTAATTAGCAAGTATGACAAGGCAGGTTATTCATCTACTGTGACTAAAAATGACAAGCAATATTAATTCTGGGAAATATTCTAACCAGATAGAGTATATAGGTAAAGTTTTCCTCAGTACACAAATCTATCCTCACAAAGATATGAGTCATTTATGGTCACCGTGGAACTTGGATGTGACACATTGTTGTTCTGAAGTGCACTTTCTTATCCTGTTCGCTCTCTGAAAAACCTGAATGACCTTGAAAATATCTAAGGGGTTATTAACCCTAACAGGTCAGGAGGCTTGGGTTCAAAATGGCGGTTGTGTGGACATCTACATGTTCCGAGTGCTACAGAGGACAGGGGAAGTGACAACTTAATTCAGAGCCTTCAAGTGAATATAATAGCTTCTGTTTTTAGCATAATATGCTTTCTCTCGACTGTTTTGATGTTAGTATAGAGATGGAATATAGGAGATGGGGAGGGGGGATTATTGAATGTTAGCTGAATAAAGGTTTAAACTTACAAAGATGGCTCCATTGAAGATGAACATCATAATCTTGAGAAACCCGGAGCAACACATCTTCACCGTCTGTTGTTTCCTTCTCTTGAACAACAAAACAAAACTTCAACAGTGAGTTTAGGGACAGGGTTGCCCAGCCCTGTTCCTGGAGAGCTACCCTTCTGTAGGTTTTCGCTCCAACCCCAGGTGTTACTAACCTGATTCATCTTATCAACCTGCTAATTATTAGAATCAGGTGTGCTAGATTAGGGTTGGAGCAAAAACCTACAGGACGGTGGCTCTCCAGGAGCAGGGTTGGGCAGTCCTGGTTTAGGAGATACACTTGGACATACAGAATACGTAGTCAGCTATGGTTTCAGGCCAGTGTGTGTGTGTATGTTCATACAATTGTAGTGTTTTAACTAGACAGCCAACCTGTCTGGTTACAAGATCACAGGATGTTAAACCAGGCTTGTCTGAATCATGTTACAATGGCACAGGGCCTCCACGCCAGCGTCCATTTTAGTTACACATTAACCAGGGAGAAAGAGACGGTTATGGGGCGAAAGCAATGCTGTCTAAATATAGCATTTTATTTGTTTTCATTTAGCAATAAACTGGGTTTGTGGTTGAAATTAACAATCAGAAAAGACAACTACGTTTACATTTTGTAAAACTGTGTATTCTACTATGTGCCCATGTTGTGTTTGCCAGTCAAATTCTAAGAAGACTTACCAATCACAACATCTTCATGACGCTAACTTCTTTATTTCAACTGTCAGTCCCACATCCCTCAAAAACCCTTAGACTGGTAACACGGCTTTCACACCTTGCAAGATAGTACCAGTCCATCTCTTTACTTGAAGTCGGAGCTACTGGGCAGATAACTGTCAAAAGTAGTCCCTTGGTCAAAAGTAGTGCACTAAATAGGGAATAAAGGGCCATTTGGGACGCACTCAGAGTTGATTGATGTTTTATTACTAGAGGTATTTTACAGCCATTGGTATTACTGGAACAGTCGATTAGTCTTATCGGAATGTTCCTGACAGTCACTGACCTTCAGTAGCATAGAAAACACCTCCATGAGATACAGACTTAGCTATCAAGACCCATAATATCTTTATGGTCCTTTTCTCCAGTAGCTTGTGGGCTTTGTGGGAAAGTGTCACTGGACGAGACCAAGCCTAGTTTTTTGGTGTGTACTTTAGTATCATAGTAAATACATTTACATTTTTTTAAAAATTTTAGTCATTTAGCAGATGCTCTTATCCAGAGCGACTTACAGTTAGTGAGTGCATACATTTTTTTTACCTCCATAAGGCACACAGACATATAGTTTAGAATTGTTATGTTGATACAGTATTTGTTTATGCCCTCTTCTCTAGTAGCTTGCTGGCTTCCAGTGAACTGGAGAAGTGTCACTGGATGAAACCAAGCCTAGATTTTATGACCATCATGACCAGGTTGTTCCTTTTTGCTGTTTATCAGTCACTGTCTTTATTTACTTTGACAACTTTCACCTGCTACCCACAGGGCCATAAACGTCCCCGTGACCAGGAAAGATATAACAAGATTGAGAGGCAGAATGCTACCTGAGTTAATGTTTTTAAAACAAAGGGTGAGTTTCCCAGACAATGATTAAGTCTAGTGCTGGACTAAAAAGCATGTTCCGGTCTAGGCTTAATCTCTGTCTATGAAACTGGCCCTAAATGTGATTTATCAACAGCACCATCCCAGGCCAGGAGTCTCGGTTTCCCTCTAGTCACATGACTAGTGTATGAGAATGCAGCAGCACCATCAACATTTTAACAAGTCATTAATATGTTGCCATTTGATCTCATGTCTGCTAGAACTTTAATGTGAACCAGTCTTTCATTGGGCAAAGTTCTCCCCTTAGATACAGGATCTTCGGACAGAAGCAACCGGATTCATGCTAATAAGTTATTTATTAATCCCAAAATTAATCTTCCTTCTAACAGAAGACACATTTCTTAATTTTTTAAAAATACAATGTATCAGTTAAATAGAACGATTTCTCTGGATGTCTGCGATCTGACTTTCTGTTGCATATTGGATGCAAATGCAACCTGTCACAAAATGTATTAAATTGAGTATTAGTTTATTTACTGAAGAAAGTACTGGTTTTCATGAAGTGTTTTTTATCTAGTACATCAGACAAGTACTATTGTATCATTCAAGTTTGTGTATAGTAGATTACTTTAAGTGGAGTAGGAGAATTGAGTCTCTTACCTGTGCTGAGGTGATGACTGTTGAGGTCTGAGAGGAGTGTTTGTCCCAACAAGTCTCTATCTGACCCTTTATCCTCTCCCACAGGTCTGACACACACATGAGGGGAGGGAGTAATTGACCAAAGCACCACTGATTGGTTTCTAGTTTAGGACAACTTCCTGGAGGCTAAAGTCCTACCGAGGTGAAAAACACACACACATTCTAGAGGGTGAAAAACACAACTACACAAATTATTGCTGCACTTTTGTCACTTATTCCTCTTCAGAATCTATTGAACCTCAAGAAGACAAAAAGTATTTCAAACTACCTTTCATTCAAACATGTGGTATTGCACTCTCTCACTGTTTACTGCGTGGCTCATCATTCATTTATAGACCAGGAAAACTTTTTTTCCGTCAAAACCCCAACACATTGACGTCACTCAGCCAAGTGTCATGACCTGTCGCTAAGTCCAGTAAGAACTGCTGTAAAAAAAAACTTTGTCAGCAACCCAAATGGCACCCTATTCCCTATGTAGTGCACTACTTTTGACCAGGGCCTGTAGAGAATAGGGTGACATTTGGGACATACCCAAACCTATCCATCAACTCTATTTTTACCCCTTTTATGAATGGAACATCTGGAGATAAGAAACATTTTTAGATTATGTCTAAGGTAGACCTACTAGGTCTATGTCAAATGACCACAAACAATGGCAACAACTAACTGCACTCAAACACACTCAGACATTCCCAAGGAAATGTATTCATACATGTTAGCTGACATGGGAGTTCATAGCATTCATCTTACAGTATAAAGTAATTAGAAGCAGTTTCTACGACTGAACTATTCAATGAGGAAGTCACTACATGTTACTAAGCAGTTACTGTAATTGAAGGTAGGCAAATAAAGATATTTTGGGATGAAAGCAAGAGAGATACACCTGACCGGACTTCAATAAATTTACATTACATTCTTTATTTTGTTCATTCGAGGGGATTGAGCAGATATACAGTCATTAACTGAAATGAATCAAATGAAATCATGCTATGACTTTTACATTTGACCTGAGCACTAAAACACAAACCTATAAAACACAACCAGACCATACACAAATATAGTAAGACGTTTTTCCATTGAATGCCTGATGTAGAATCTAATAGCTCATTCAGTTACAGTAGTTAGTGGGACAGTGCAGGTCAGGAAGGACATTTAGTCCAGCACGGTTGGGGTCAATTCCTTTTCAATTCAGCCAATGCAGGAAGTAAACCGAAATTCTAATTCTCCACAACGCTACTCCATAAGAATAAAAATGGAATTGGAATTTCAGTTCAGTTCCTGAATTGACTGCATTGAAATTGAATTGACCCCAACCCCAGTATCCAGTTGAATCAAGAAACTTTGGCAGGTTGGTTGGTCAGTCATAGTTGACCTAACATTTTGGTTTACAGTGTATAGGCTACAGCTGAACATTCATAAGCAATAGCCTCATAAGCCAGCCATCTAGACGCTCCCTTAGTATAGGGCCTTGAGTTTTTCCACCACGCAGCCAGGAGAAACTCAGGGCCCTACAATGTCGTTGATGTCAGGCAGACACAGCTGCGTTATTGACACTATTAGAGCAGGTGCCTCCATTATTACTGCAGTGACACTCAACATCCACATGGGGGCAGTATGATCATTTTTACCCAATACATTACTGGGAGGTTATACATGTGGAGTGTGCGACTCAGTATGATCATGACACAATCAAACAGAATCTGAACTACAGCACTGAACAACTGTTCTTAGGCTAGGCTTGGGTTGTGGGAAGGCTCCCAGATGAAGTTTCCCCTAGGTACAGATCTAGGATCAGCTTACCCTCCCCAATCCTAACCATTAGTGGGGGAAATGTTAAACTGACCCAAGATCAGTGTCTAGGGGCAACTTCACCCTACTCTGGGAAGCTTATCCTATAGCAAAATACATGCCATCAGCTCATTCTAAACAAGAGAACTGATGTGAAATCTGTTGTTAGAGGCAAAGTGAGTGCAAGTGACTGGGGAACCAGTCGGTAACAGGGATAGTAGCAACAATGTTACACAAAACCAAGAGTACATTCACAACGCTAGATTTCTGGCAAGTCATTGAGCGTGTGTGGGAGTGTTTGTGTATTTAATTTTTTCAGTGTGTGTTTGTGTGTGTGTGTGTGTGCGCGAGCATGTATACCGTATGTATGTTTAAGGCGTTATCAGCAGGAGCAGCCACCCTTGTTGTCTGGGGGCGTGTCCTGTAGGCTGGGGCCCTTGTGATTGGCCAATGGGCTGGGCTCCCCATTCATGCTCTCGCTCATCTTCTCGCAGATGCGGTCGACGAGACACTCGAACACCTGCTTCACGTTGATGTTGTCTTTGGCACTGGCCTCGAAGAACTGGAACCCTGGAGAAAGAGGGAGGGAGGATGGAGAACAGGGAAACAAAGGATTACTAGAAGCAACAAACCTAGCAAAAGAGTGACTTGCATTTTGTTCTCTGTGAGAGATAGATAGATATATATATATATATATATATATATATATACACTACCGTTCAAAAGTTTGGGGTCACTTAGAAATGTCCTTGTTTTCCATGAAACCATACATGAAATGAGTTTGAATAGGAAATATAGCAAAATAAATAGGAAATGTAGTCATTGACAAGGTTAGAAATAATGATTTTTAATTGAAATAATAATTGTGTCCTTCAAACTTTGCTTTCGTCAAAGAATCCTCAATTTGCAGCAATTACAGCCTTGTAGACCTTTGGCATTCAGTTGTCAATTTGTTGAGGTAATCTGAAGAGATTTCACCCCATGCTTCCTGAAGCACCTCCCACAAGTTGGATTGGCTTGATGGGCACTTCTTACGTACCATACGGTCAATCTGCTCCCACAAAGGCTCAATAGGGTTGAGATCCGGTGACTGTGCTGGCCACTCCATTATAGACAGAATACCAGCTGACTGCTTCTTCCCTAAATAGTTCTTGCATAGTTTGGAGCTGTGCTTTGGGTCATTGTCCTGTTGTAGGAGGAAATTGGCTCCAATCAAGCGCAGTCCATAAAATGTTGCAAAATTCCTTCATCAATATCCCTTTTACCCTGTACAAATCTCCCACTTTACCACCACCAAAGCACCCCCAGACCATCACATTGCCTCCACCATGCTTGACAGATGGCATCAAGCACTCCTCTAGCATCTTTTCATTTGGTCTGCGTCTCACAAATGTTCTTCTTTGTGATCCGAACACCTCAAACTTTGATTTGTCTGTCCATAACACTTTTTTCCAATCTTCCTCTGTCCAGTGTCTGTGTTCTTTTGCCCATCTTAATCTTTTCTTTTTATTGGCCAGTCTGAGATATGTATTTTTCTTTGCAACTCTGCCTAGAAAGTCAGCATCCCGGAGTCGCCTCTTCACTGTTGACGTTGAGACTGGTGTTTTGCGGGTACTATTTAATGAAGCTGCCAGTTGAGGGCCTGTGAGGCGTCTGTTTCTCAAACTAGACACTAATGTTTTTGTCAGTTGTGCACCGGGGCCTCCCACTCCTCTTTCTATTCTGGTTACAGCCAGTTTGCGCCGTTCTGTGAAGGGAGTAGTACACAGCGTTGTACGAGATCTTCAGTTTCTTGGCAATTTCTCACATGGAATAGCCTTCATTTCTCAGAACAAGTATAGACTGCCGAGTTTCAGAAGAAAGTTATTTGTTTCTGGCCATTTTAAGCCTGTAATCGAACCCACAATTGCTGATGCTCCAGATACTCAACTAGTCTCAAGAAGGCCAGTTTTATTGCTTCTTTAAATCAGCACAACAGTTTCAGCTGTGCTAACATAATTGCAAAAGGCTTTTAAAATGATAAACTTGGATTAGCAAACACAACGTGCCATTGGAACACAGGACTGATGGTTTCTGATAATGTACACCTATGAAGATATTCCATTAAAAACAATACAATAGCCATTTACATCATTAACAATGTCTACACTGTATTTATAGGTGACCTCAAACTTTTGATACTGGGGTCACTTATAAATACAGTGTAGACATTGTTAATGATGTAAATGGCTATTGTATTGTTTTTACATACACACACACTACCAGTCAAAAGTTTGGACACACCTACTCATTCAAGGGTTTTTCTTTATTTTTACATTGTAGAATAATAGTGAAGACATCAAAACAATGAAATAACACATATGGAATCATGTAGTAAACAAAAAAAAGTGTTAAACAAATCAAAATATATTTTATATTTGAGATTCTTCAAATAGCCACCCTTTGCCTTGATGACAGCTTTGCACCCTCTTGGCATTCTCTAAACCAGCTTCACCTGGAAAGCTTTTCCAACAGTCTTGAAGGAGTTCCCACATATGCTGAGCACTTGTTGGCTGCTTTTCCTTTACTCTGCGGTCCGACTCATCCCAAACCATCTCAATTGGGTTGAGGTCAGGGGGTTGTGGAGGCCAGGTCATCTGATGCAGCACTCCATCACACCCTGGAGGTGTGTTGGGTCATTGTCCTGTTGAAAAACAAATGATAGTCCCACTAAGCCCAAACCAGATGGAATGGTGTATCATTGCAGAATGCTGTGGTAGCCAAGCTGGTTAAGTGTGCCTTGAATTCTAAATATAATCACAGACAGTGTCACCACAAAGCATCCCCACACCATAACACCTCCTCCTCCATGCTTTACAGTGGGAAATACACATGCGGAGATCATCCGTTCACCCACACCGCGTCTCACAAAGACATGGCGGTTGGAACCAAAAATCTCTAATTTGGACTCCAGACCAAAGGACACATTTCCACCGGTCTAATGTCCATTGCTCGTGTTTCTTGGCCCAAGCAGGTCTCGTCTTCTTATTGGTGTCCTTTAGTAGTGGTTTCTTTGCAGCAATTCGACCATGAAGGCCTGATTCACACTGTCTCCTCTGAACAGTTGATGTAGAGATGTGTCTGTTACTTGAACTCTGTGAAGCATTTATTTGGGCTGCAATTTCTGAGGCTGGTAACTCTAATGAACTTATCCTCTGCAGCAGAGGTAACTCTGGGTCTTCCATTCCTGTGGCGATCCTCATGAGAACCAGTTTCATAATAGTGCTTGATGGTTTTTGCGACTGCACTTTAAGAAACTTTCAAAGTTCTTGAAATGTTCCGTATTGACTGACCTTCATGTCTTAAAGTAATGATGGACTGTCATTTCTCTTTGCTTATTTGAGCTGTTCTTGCCAAAATATGGACTTGGTCTTTTACCAAATAGGGCTATCTTCTATATACCCCCCCTACCTTGTCACAACACAACTGATTGGCTCAAACGCATTAAGTCAATTCCACAAATTAACTTTTAAGAATGCACACCTGTTAATTGAAATGCATTCCAGATGACTACCTCATGAAGCTGGTTGAGAGAATGCCAAGAGTGTGCAAATGTGTCATCAAGGCAAAGGGTGGCTATTTGAAGAATCTCAAATATCAAATATATTGTCATTTGTTTAACACTTTTTTGGTTACTACATGATTCCATGTGTTATTTCATAGTTTTGATGTCTTCATTATTATTCTACAATGTAGAAAATAGTCAAATTAAAGAAAAACCCTGGAATGAGTAGGTGTGTCCAAACTTTTGACTGGTACTGTATATATGTTTATTTTCTGGGTATGTACTGTATATACAGTGGGGGGGAAAAGTATTTAGTCAGCCACCAATTGTGCAAGTTCTCCCACTTAAAAAGATGAGAGAGGCCTGTAATTTTCATCATAGGTACACGTCAACTATGACAGACAAATTGAGAAGAAAAAAAATCCAGAAAATCGCATTGTAGGATTTTTAATGAATTTATTTGCAAATTATGGTGGAAAATAAGTATTTGGTCACCTACAAACAAGCAAGATTTCTGGCTCTCACAGACCTGTAATTTCTTCTTTAAGAGGCTCCTCTGTCCTCCACTCGTTACCTGTATTAATGGCACCTGTTTGAACTTGTTATCAGTATAAAAGACACCTGTCCACAACCTCAAACAGTCACACTCCAAACTCCACTATGGCCAAGACCAAAGAGCTGTCAAAGGACACCAGAAACAAAATTGTAGACCTGCACCAGGCTGGGAAGACTGAATCTGCAATAGGTAAGCAGCTTGGTTTGAAGAAATCAACTGTGGGAGCAATTATTAGGAAATGGAAGACCACTGATAATCTCCCTCGATCTGGGGCTCCACGCAAGATCTCACCCCGTGGGGTCAAAATGATCACAAGAATCCCAGAACCACACGTGGGGACCTAGTGAATGACCTGCAGAGAGCTGGGACCAAAGTAACAAAGCCTACCATCAGTAACACACTACGCCGCCAGGGACTCAAATCCTGCAGTGCAAGACGTGTCCCCCTGCTTAAGCCAGTACATGTCCAGGCCCGTCTGAAGTTTGCTAGAGTGCATTTGGATGATCCAGAAGAGGATTGGGAGAATGTCATATGGTCAGATGAAACCAAAATATAACTTTTTGGTAAAAACTCAACTCGTCGTGTTTGGAGGACAAAGAATGCTGAGTTGCAGCCAAAGAACACCATACCTACTGTGAAGCATGGGGGTGGAAACATCATGCTTTGGGGCTGTTTTTCTGCAAAGGGACCAGGACGACTGATCCGTGTAAAGGAAAGAATGAATGGGGCCATGTATCGTGAGATTTTGAGTGAAAACCTCCTTCCATCAGCAAGGGCATTAAAGATGAAACGTGGCTGGGTCTTTCAGCATGACAATGATCCCAAACACACCGCCCGGGCAACGAAGGAGTGGCTTCGTAAGAAGCATTTCAAGGTCCTGGAGTGGCCTAGCCAGTCTCCAGATCTCAACCCCATAGAAAATCTTTGGAGGGAGTTGAAAGTCCGTGTTGCCCAGCGACAGCCCCAAAACATCACTGCTCTAGAGGAGATCTGCATGGAGGAATGGGCCAAAATACCAGCAACAGTGTGTGAAAACCTTGTGAAGACTTACAGAAAACGTTTGACCTGTGACATTGCCAACAAAGGGTATATAACCAAAGTATTGAGAAACTTTTGTTATTGACCAAATACTTATTTTCCACCATCATTTGCAAATAAATTCATAAAAAAATCCTACAATGTGATTTTCTGGATTTCTTTTCTCATTTTGTCTGTCATAGTTGACGTGTACCTATGATGAAAATTACAGGCCTCTCTCATCTTTTTAAGTGGGAGAACTTGCACAATTGGTGGCTGACTAAATACTTTTTTCCCCCACTGTATGCCAATATTAGTCTGTCTTTTAAGGTTGCGAGACAGATAGACAGACAGGAGACAGACAGAGAAAGAGAAGAGTGTGTATTCCCTGCCACCCAGCTCTTCAGCCAGTCTCTGTCCGTCCTCAGAAAGAGAGAGCGAGCGAGCGACAGACAGGAGACGGACAGAGAAAGAGAAGAGTGTGTGTATTCTCTCCCACCCAGCTCGTCAGCCAGTCTCTGTCCGTCCTCCGCTGGTACCAGCCTGTCGTCCTCCAGGTCAGCCTTGTTCCCCACCAGGATCACCTGGGCGTTGTCCCACGAGTACGTCTTGATCTGGGTCGCCCTGGGGACCGGACAACGACAATCAATATATGACTTTCATAACAATAGTATGCATCTGTTACTGTATTTAACCTCAGAGGTAACTAGTGTTGCAAAACCCTCGCATTCCAGCTGTTTCATGACTTAGCGAACACGATTTTCCAACAACAGGTAAATCGAATGGAGAAAGCTGAGCCCCATGGGAGTACTGTACCCACCAGTCCTGCCCACGCACGCACGCATGCGCGCGCGCACACACACACACAGAGAAAGTTAGTGTGAATGTCTGTGCTGTGTCAAATGTAATTGAATAAACTTTATTGATCCTAGAAGGGGATATGACCCACCAGTCCTGCACAGCGTAGAATGAGTCCTGGTTGGTGATGTCATACATGAGCAGGAAGCCCATGGCTCCTCTGTAGTAGGCTGTGGTGATGGTCCTGTAACGCTCCTGGCCCGCCGTGTCCTGTCACACACACACACACACAGTTGGTTGTTTTAAAGAGAGAGTTAGTACCATGTCGTCTATGCCCCACCTAAATAAATACACACAGCACAGCTTTTAAATGGACGCCTCCAGTTTCAAAACACAATAGGCTTATCCTTACTGCAGCAACAGACAGATGAGCCACGAGGGCTACTAGGCTAGCACACAGAAACACTGTCAACCAACATACTGTAGGTCCTGTAGCGATGGAGAATCACCTTCCCCAAAGATATAGAATAACTTAAGGAATTAAAAAATCACCCATTATGACCTCACCTCATTGACTTGAAACGGGGACTCCCGTTCTAGTATTTCTATGGGGTTCACATTGCCCCAGCACAGCAAAAGCCATAAGGGCCATCCATCATACAGACACATGGTGTGAGTAGTGGAGGAGTATTAGGGGTTAACTGGTTAACTGTAGCCTACTCTGCTGCAGGGAAGAAGAGAATGATTAACCCATAACTGCAGCAGAGCAGAGGGAAGTCCCTGCCAAGACAGCCCTCCTGTTTCCACACCCTATATGTACACCAGGATACAATGGCACTGATGCAGAATACTGTAAACCTGGTCTGACTAACATAACCGATAGGGCAAGGCGTTATTCCATCCTGAGCAGGAAAAACTCTGGGCCCTAGTTATAGTAGCAGTAACTAGGACCTGGAAGTTGTTCCTGGTCAGGTCAGGGAAACGGCTGGCACTAGCAATAACACCTCAACGAATAATCAATATTACAACTAAGCTAATGTGGATGGTTGATCTAGATAGCAACATGCGGGCGGCAGGTAGCGTAGTGGGTAAGAGCGTTGTGCCAGTAACCGAAAGGTCGCTGGTTCTAATCCCCGAGCTGACTAGGTGAAAAATCTGTCGATGTGCCCTTAAGCAAGGCACTTAACCCTAATTGCTCCTGTAAGTCGCTCTTATCTAAATGACTAAAATGTAAATATCAGCGGTCATAAAGATATGACCAGTAGTTTAGTGTAGTGGTGAGAAAGCTACTGTGAGAGAATCTTCTAGGCACCCTTTTCCCTAAACCTACATAGTGCACTACTTTGTCATGATAATAGGGTGCTATTTGGGACGCAGCCCTCATCTTCTTCTTGTGAGAATCCCATCTGACAGACAGCAATACTGTAATAGACATGTATAGGGCGGCAAGTAGCCTAGCGGTCAAGAACGTTGGGCTAGTAAACGAAAGGTTGCTGGTTCGAATCCCTGAGCTGACTAGGTGAAAACCCTGTCGATGTCCCCTTGAGCAAGGCACTTAACCCTAGTTCCTCCTGTAAGTCGCTCGGGATAAGGGAGTCTGCTAAATGACTCAAATGTAAAACGTATTGGGTGTCAGATTGCACTGTAAGCCGAGACAGCAGCACAGCCTTCCGCATCTTTTGTCAAGGGACGATGTTCAACATCAAGTGAGGTTAACGTCGAGAGTGTATAGTCCAACCACAGTCTGTGTCCAAAATGGCACCCTATTCCCCATATAGTGCACTACTTGGGCCCTGGTCAAAAGTAGTGAATGAGGAAACAGGGTGCCATTTCAGATACCGTACATAATACAGTAAACAGGCAACATGTTTCAAGCAACTGTGGGCCCTTCTTTGACGTGTATAGCTGTTATTTCAGGGCCCATCTTTGACGTGTATAGCTGTTATTTCAAGGCCCTTCTTTGACTTGTATAGCCGTTATTCAGGACCCTTCTTTGACGTGTATAGCTGTTATTTCAGGGCCCTTCTTTGACGTGTATAGCTGTTATTTCAGGGCCCTTCTTTGACGTGTATAGCTGTTATTTCAGGACCCTTCTTTGACGTGTATAGCTGTTATTTAGGGCCCTTCTTTGAAGTGTATAGTGCTGTTATTTCAGTGGACAAACATCCTCCTCACTCAGCATACCATCATCAGCCTGCTGGAACATAAGGGGCAAAAATTCAGAGAATTAATGTTGTTTTAGCAAAAACTTCCTCTCCTTCCTCCCTTGTTTTGAGTAGGCTGGTAAAACAAGCCAGGCGAACATAGCAGACAAAAAGGCACAGTAACAAGCAAGAATATGCACAAGGATGCTCACACACACTCCCTCAAGTTTTACACACCTTCCCTATAACCTTTGACCCCCTTGCTGCCAGCTCTTAGGAAACTGTTGGGGAAAAAACGTGTTTGACCAAATACAATGCTATTACTCTGTAAACAAATTAACAACAGACTTTCAGCATGCTTATATAGAGAAGGGCACTCAACATGTACTGCACTGACACAAATGACTGATGATTGGTTGAAAGAAATTGATAATAAGAAGATTGTGGGAGCTGTACTGTTTTCAGCGCAGCCTTTGATATTATTGACCATAACCTGTTGAGAAAACGTATGTGTTATGGCTTTTCAACCTCAACTCTGAATACTCAACTCTGAATACACGATAAGGTAATCCATCTAATAGAACTGGAAGCTTCTCTAATGTCAAACATGTCAAGTGTGGTGTACTGTAGGGCAGCTCTCTAGGCCCTCTACTCTTTTCTATTTTTACCAATGACCTGCCACTGGCAATAAACAAAGCATGTGTGTCCATGTATGCTGATGATTCAACCATATATACACACACACACACGTGTCAGCAACCACAGCTAATAAAGTAACTGAAAGCCTTAACAAAGACTTGCAGTTAGTTTTGGAATGGGTAGCCAGTAATAAACTGGTCCTGAACATCTCTAAAACTAAGAGCATTGTATTTGTATTATTATTCCCTAAGTTCTAGACCTCAGTTGAATCTGGTAATGAATGGTGTGGCTTTTGAACAAGTTGAGGAGACAAAATTACTTGGTGTTACCTTAGATTGTAAACTGTCATGGTCAAAATATATAGATTCAATGGCTGTAAAGATATGGAGATGTCTGTCCGTAATAAAGAGATGTTCTACTTTTTTGACACCACACAAAGCAAATCCTGTAGGCTCTAGTTCTATCTTATCTTGATAATTGTCCAGTCATATGGTCAAGTGCTGCAAAGAAAGTTAAGCTGCAGCTGGCCCAGAACAGAGCGGCACGTCTTGCTCTTCATTGTAATCAGATGGCTAATATTAATACTATGCATGTCAGTCTCGCTTGGCTAAGAGTTGAGGAAAGACTGATTGTTTCTTATAAAAACAAGAAGTGAAGCAATGTGTTGGAAATTCCTAATTGTTTGCCTAGTCAATTTACACACACCACTGACACACACACTTACCCCACCAGATATGCCACCAGGGGTCTTTTCACAGTCCCACGGTCCATAATAAATTCAAGGAAACGTACAGTATTATACAGAGCCATGAGTGCATGGAACTCCCATCTGACATAGCGCAAACCTGGTTTCAAAAAACAAATAAAGCAACACCTCACGGCACAACGACTCTCCCCCACATGACCTACTTGTTGTGTGTATGTACTGACATGTATGTGGAACTGATAGAGGCACACACACTACAAGTAAAGTATTGTCTGTAATGTCTTTTTCCCAGTGAGACTAGCTGTCCACCATTGGCGTCGGCTAATGGGGATCCTAATAAATCTAAATCAAACCCCCTTCTTACCCAGATCTGTAGCTTGACCCTCTTATCGTTGCGGTAGACCGTCTTGACCTTGAAGTCGATGCCCACGGTGGAGACGAAGGCCGAAGTAAAGGAGTCGTCAGCGTAGCGGAAGAGTAAGCTGGTCTTCCCAACGCTGCTGTTGCCGATGATCAGCAGCTTGAACATGTAGTCAAAGTTCTGGTCGGCGGCATCCTTCTGGGCCTGGGTCTGCTGCTGGCTGGCACCGGGGTCGCTCGCCAGCGCCATCTAGAGGAGCGGAGGGGAGGAAACAGTTGAAGCAGTGCAACTCCTAGTCCAGGGGTACGTTCAGTACGACAGAACTGTGTGTAACGTTTAATTCCACAGAAACGGTACTGTACCGAACGACCAGCTAAAATAACGTTGTGATTATGGTGGCCCAGAGGTCGATTGAGTTTTGCAATTTCAAATGGTCATACCCATATTGTTCAGCCCACACCATAGGGCCAAACCTTGCCCACATCCTTCATGAAACTATTCAATATTTGGTCAGTCATTGGACCTGACTATGTGAGGATCAGGGTGAATTTATGACAATGTTGTGAGTCAGCAGGTTTCCTCCATAACTCTCGCTCGCCCTCTGTTTTCCTGTATCATGAATAAAAGCCAGAGTATCCTGTCCACTCCCTCCATCCCTCACTCTCCTCCATCCCTTTCCTCCCCCATCCCTCTCTTCACTATAGTCCTGCAGCATGAATAAAAAGCCTGGGGTAATTCCACAGTAACGGAATTGCGCTGAGACAGATTTCTCACTTAAAATGTATGCCAAACAAAAACCATTGATTTCAAAGTTTAACAAACCATACAGCTCTATGCACAATGACTACTTTTAACAATAGAACACTGAATATTTTACAAAAACATATTTACTGGAAGAACTGTGCAGATGCAAAATTTGGTAACAGAATTTCGGTAAAATCTCCCTCAGTTTAGGTGTCCACGTTTTCCTAAATATCTGCTCTGAATTAAGATTCAATAATGTCTGCAGAAAGAATGGGGTGTCAGCTATAACATGACACTGACTTTAAAAAAAAGAAGGTTTTTGAACTACAGTAAGTGAAGTCTATTTACACCAGGTAACGGAATTGCAGTAATGGAATTTCATCATGGGTCTCTGATCTGTACTACACAGAAATGCATAATCATGGATATGAACGTCATTCTCTTCATGGTGATGTATCCTAGGTATAAATATGCAATATCCTCCTTGGGTATTATTCTACACACTGGCTATTATTTTAATGAGCTCTATACCCAAACAAGACCAAAGTTGGTTGGTCTGGACCAAATTGGAACCAATCATAGACATCTATGTTTCACAAGTTTGGACATCAAAGTAAAGCACAGTAGAGTACAGTACAGCACACCAGTAGAGTAGAGATCAGTACAGTAAAGTATAGTTCAGTACACTACAGCAGAGTAGAGTTCAGTACTGTTCAGTAATGTAGAGTATAGTTCAGTACAGTAGAGTTCAGAGCAGTACAGCAGAGTACAGTACATTAGGGTACTCAACTCTAGTCTGCTCTACTGTACAATACCCTACTTTTCTTTACTGTATACTGTGCAAACTTGTGAACCCAACTGTAGTTTGTGAATACTATGATTTCCCATTGTAGCTATTTCGATTTGGTAATGGAATTGAGTTTTACCAACAAAATTGATATCAGTAAAAACCCTAATTGATCGGTCTACCTTCACTTCTTACTTTTGTGAACTTTAATTATCCTCCCTCCTCATGAGGGAGAGAAATTAGAAAATATCTTAAAGATGTGGGTTTTTGGTAACGGAATTAAGGCAAAGGGCAATGTTTCTTAAACTTACAGAGTTTACAAAACGAAATATACTCTGAACAAAAATATAAAATGCAACATGTAAAGTGTTGGTCCCATGTTTCATGCGCTGAAATAAAAGATCCCAGAAATTGTTAATACGCACAAAACGCTTATTTCTCTCAAATGTTGTGCACAAATTTGTTTACATCCCTGTTAGTGAGCATGTCTCCTTTGCCAAGATAATCCATCCACGTGACAGGTGTGGCATATCAAGAAGCTGATTAAACAGCATGATCATTACATAGGTGCACCTTGTGCTGGGGACAATAAAAGGCCACTAAAATGTGCAGTGTTGTCACACAACACAATGCCACAGATGTCTAAGGTTTTGAGGGAGCGTGCAATTGGCATGCTGACTGCAGGAATGTCCACCAGATGTGTTGCCAGAGAATTGAATGTTCATTTATCTACCATAAGCCACTTCGAACTTAGTTTTAGAGGATTTGTCAGTACGTCCAACCGGCCTTACAACCGCAGACCACATGTATAGCGTTGTGTGGGCGAGCGGTTTGCTGATGTCAACGTTGTGAACAGAGTGCCGCATGGTGGCAGTGGGGTTATGGTATTGGCAGGCATAAGCTATGGACAATGAACACAATTGCATTTTATTGATGGCAATTTGAATGCACAGAAATACCGTGAAGAGATCCTGAAGCCCATTGTCGTGCCATTCATAAAAGGTTGAAGCTCATTTACTGCATTTTAAAAACTCTAAAACTCTATTTGGAGAACAGCAAAAACAAGCAAAAATGACCTCAGCCATTATCACATTGGTTACTGTAGCTTCATTCACCACAATCGATCTACAAACACATAGCCTATTAGCTATACAATTAGCTGCTGCACATTAACTCAGCACCGGGATTAAAAACTATAATTTATTACATACTGAGGGATCTGTTAGCAAAAAAAGTATTTTATTAACAAAAGGTAAACAAATAAGTTTGCTTTACAGAACCATCTTTTTTGTGCAGTTTTATAGAACATTTCCTGCAATGCTAAACATTCTGCCATGGGGTAGGGAGACATTTTTGCAGTTTTAAAGCTACATTTCATGCAATTCTATTCTATTCAATAACCTTCTTTGCCATGACTTATGCCAGGTTAATATGATATCTGAGTGAAAGTGACAAAATCAATGGGTGCCCCTTGGAGGTCAGGACCCCCTGGGCACGTGCCCAGCGTGCCGGTCGGAATTCGGCCATGATTACTATAAGTTTTGATAGCTGGCTAGACTAACTACACTAATCTAATCTGTTTGACTAACATGGGCTAATTGAGTGACTGTCAGTGAGTGGAAAAAGGAAATCTGCTGCAACCAAGTTTTGAAATTGCACCTTTTATATTCTACTATTCTAACACTCAACAGTAAGTTGAGACTCCGACTGAGTTCCAATGGTTTAAAAATAAATAAAGATCTGAACCTCGGTGTCCTCATATGTAGCTACGATCCTGTATATGCCTCAATTTCTAAAAAAATATAGACTTTGGTTTGACACCCATTTTGACATGCTCCTATGAACTTCACATATTGGTGCTCATTGGTCCTTTTACATAGAAATGACCCCAGAATGTCCACTCTTCCTTCATCCCTCTCTCCCCTGGCCTGCAGCATATGAGCGACGCTGAGCCGAGCAGTGCTCTTTGCCTGATTAAGACCGTTTCCTTGGCGACAAGCTCAGCACAAACCATCCAGGGCCATAAAAGAGGGACTGGCAAATACAAACTAAGCAGAACAGAGACTCAACACACACAATGAATACAGTAACACGACTAGAAGACACCAGAGCGTGCTGCTGTTGCCAAAATAGCACTCAATTCTGACTGCATTTATGTTGGCATCCATTTTTGCGGTCTTTATGAGGAGAATTGCCCCATATCAATGCATTCAATTTCAATGTAGGCCCTTTTATCAATCATAAAACCATACAGGTACATTACCCTCCTTCCAAAAATGAACATATTCAAAAGCAAAGATACTACACATGATGAGTGATCCATTGCCCTTTAAAAAAAAAGAGGTAATTACATATTCCACTGGTAACAGTTGCCAACATTACAAGTACATTTCCACCTGAGGCTGGAAATGTTGGTCTCTCTGACAAGGTCTAGGTGACCGTGACCCAGAGGAAGAGGGACTTGAGCTCACAGTGGTGGTGGAAGGCATCAGGACATGATTCAACATTCCACTCACTGTACATAGTGGGCATATCTGAAATACTACTTCCCCTAGAGTCTACAGTGCATTACTTTTGATCAGAAACACATAGCTGGTGTGTGTGTGTGTGTGTGTGTGTGTGTGTGTTGATGGAAAAGGTAAATGAGGTCACCTGTTTGAGGTGATGATGGGTGGGACGCTTTTAATTCCTCCCAACAGGATATGATGACCCAAACAATTTATGGTGGTGTCCCGAATGGCACCCTATTCCAAGTGGTGCACTAGCGAGTGCCATTTGGGATGCCAACATTACAATCTCATTCATGTATGGCCAATAGACTATAGGTCTAACATACAAATGTAAACCGTTGAACTGCCTGCTCAAAAAGTAAGCAGTAAAGGGATACATTCCCAATTCAAGTTGCCCTACAGCCTTCGTTCTTTTTTATTTACAGTTGACGGTAATAGATCTGTACACATAGGCCTAGTCTACTCTACTTTGACGTAGTAGGCATAATAACCATACAAAATAATGACTAGTTGTAACTGGTTGTAGGCACTTGCTGAAAGCTTTTTACATAGAGAAACTCAGGCAAAACGCAACAGCTGTCCCAAAACCACACGAGCAGTCCTCGTCTAAGCTGACTGTAACCTTTTGCAAAAAATATATTAAAAACACCCATAACTTTGGTTTTGACACTCATGAAAGTCAACGTTCAGAGAAGCATCTCTGGGCTTCCATATGGCCAATATTTAATTTACATCATGTCAAATAAGAAAAGAACCTATGGAAAAGAACCAAACACAAAACCCCATAAGAAATGCTCCTGAAAATACTGTCGGTTTCTTTTTCATTACCTCAAATCCAGTGTGTGAATCCTTTTTTTCGTCCACTCCCTCCTCCCGTTCCAACTCGATGTCTATTTCTTTTCTCTCGCCTAATGTAAGGTACTCCCGGATCTCATGCTCGCTCTTCCGTTGATTTTGCGATATGGAAGGCTGCGGAAGTTTCCCAATTTTTAATCCGGTGTCACCGACAGACCGACTGACGGAACGTCGATGAATCCACGTTCACACAACCTCTAAACATACAAACTCTGTAAGTAGTGTTGCCCGTTTGCTTAACTCCAAAGGTAGTCAACGAGTGCGGTGCGCGTTGTGCATTGCAACGTTGTTGCTTTTTGATGTATTGTTAGTTTTTCTCTCTCATTCAACTAAGTTTACATTGTTACAGCTCAGGGGAAACTTATAGTCAACCAGGCAAACAAATACAAGATAGCTATTCTCCATCTTTTTCTCTGAGAGTTACTCAAATAATGTAGGCCTACATTGCTAAATATTAAATTGATAGAGATCAGAATTCATACAAGGAACAGCTTAGTTAGAAGAAAAACCCAATCAGCGATAGTGTGCTATGTAGGCATATGAGTAGGGTTTCAAAATTCCAGTGTCTTTCCTAAAATTCCCCGGTTTTCCAGAAATCCTGGTTGGAAATTCATGGCATTAGGAGGGAATAAGAAATCCACGTGTCCTCCTACCAGGATTTCTGGAAAAATTGTGCAGCCCTATGAATGAGACACCTGTAGATATATTTATACCACTAACTAAACGGTGGGAATGTATTTCTGTTTTATACTGGAGAGGATACCCAACCCTTATTACGGTTTTGATTGAAGAGGGCTTTATGTATTCCTGAGAAGTTATTGCCGCTTTCATGTGCTAGTCGGAACTAGGAAGCCCTGAAGTTTCCGACATTGCTAACTGGTTGTAGTTATACACGTGCCGAGGTGAACCAGTTAGAAAGTCGAAGATTTCAGAGTTTCCTAGTTCCAACTAGCACCTGAACGCAGCATTATTCCTCAGTCAGCCTTCTGAATGTCCACCCCCACAGCCAGGGGATGAAGGCAGTCTAGGATACAGTACAGTCCAGCTGACACAGAGCAATATGAAAGATCTAGTCTAGCTGACTGGCCTGTACCACCCAGGGCTCTGACTGATCATATAAATAATGCTCCTTCCTGCATGAGAAATGGAAGTACACTATGGATCCTGGGAACAAGGCCAAATGGCACCCTATTCATATAGTGCACTACCTTTGATCAGAGCCCTATGGTGTCTGGTCAAAAGTAGTGCACTATATAGGGAATAGGGTGTCATTTGGGACACATCTCCTGGGGCATTGAGATGCAGAAGACCTGCCAGATTGCAGTAGAGTGGATGAGTAGGTTTTTTATTGGAGCTGTGTGCTCTGTGAGAAGCATTACAAATCTCTTCTGCATGAGTGCAGTGCACCACTTATCCCTCAGTGCAATTGTTATGACTGGGCATAGTTATCTGACTCTTAATGATAAGCCATAGGATGGACTGAGTTAAAGATGGAAATAATAAGAATACTTCATGTTATCTAAATACTGTAATGAAATCCTATTTTAAATATAACGTTTAACATACAAAAATAACACATTCCACTCTTAGTTATCCAATTTAACATTACATTTTTTTTTTTACAGAATTCAAATGACTTTTGTATTAAAATATATAAAACAATTTGTCATACAATAACAAAATACCTCAGTGTAAACAATGTAAAACTACAAAAAACTTTCAATATAAAAGTACAAAATATCAAACTACCCAATTCTACATCACCAGGGTAAAGCAGCGATTCATCTGGCAAAAAACTATTACTTCTACTAAAGTAGGAAAGTACACATACAGTCCATGTCTCGCAGGCCCTCTACTTGACGAAGATAGCTGGTTTCTCTGATAAGATGTGGATGAGCAGGTTTCTCTAAGATTGAAAAAATATATAAAACTACTAGATAGCAAACTACCCAAATTATACATCATGTACTAGACCAGTACTGCCCAATCCTAACGTACCACACTACACTAATGCAAACACGATTTGTATTTGGACACGTTTGTCCCAGATAAGGACCATACAACCTTTGTATCCATAGTACTAAACTAGCAGGTTTCTCAGAAATTGAAAATATAAAAACTAAATATACAAAATAAAAATCTACATAATCACCGTACCAGTTGGTAAACCAAAAGTAACCACTAGCTACTGCTACTGTAACACAAATACTTCAGCCATGTTTCTCAGTCTCTCTATAGTACTAAACTAGCAGGTTTCTCAGCGATGGATGGCAGGTTTCTCCTAGCCGGGTCATTGACGTCCCAGAGCCTCTGGAACTCAGTGATGAAAGGCAGGACCAGGTCTGGTTCCTCCGTGACCAGGATGTTCTCCTTGTTGCTCTGGATGGCTGTCAGGGTCCAGTTCAGGGAGCCGGTGATCAGGCGCCGGCCGTCCACCACGGCAAACTTGTGGTGCATGTGGACGGCGCCGGAGTCACACCTCACACAGATGCCTGGGGGAATGGAAGGGGAATAGACAGGATGAGAGCGGCCATGCTATATTATGAATACAGTCACAGTTGTGGTGCATTGTGGTGGAGTCACACCTCCCAGAGTCAAACCTCACATGGACATCACACAGATTCCAAATAGAGGGGGGAGGGGGAGAGAGAGCCATTCATAACATGTCTATCTACCTTTTTTGAATCGTGGCACACCTTGATGGGATAAACAACTCTGCAGCACACCTAAAATGTCCCTGTTAATGTCACCTAAAATGTCCCTGTTAATGTATTTAGTAGTAATGACCTCCATCTAACTGATCCATACTGCTTTTTTATAGATTAAAAATAAATAAAATAAAGATTAAATAGGGTTTATTTGTACTATTTTCATAATTCCTTAATCATGATGATTAATTTGTGTGTACCCAGTGCTTGACTTGACTGAAATAGGTTCAGGTACTAATTTTGGGTGCCGGTACTGTTTATATTTAGGTGCAGGAGCTCCAAAATACTTTTCAACATATATTCTATAAAAGGGAACAGGCAGTAGTAGCTCAAGCAGTAGAACATTTGAGGTGCCAGTACTCAGCTCCTGCCCAAGTCAAGCACTGTATTTAACCCTTTTAAGAGCGTCCCGCGAATCCGTGCTAGAAATAAAATATTTATACTAAACAAAAATATAAAACGCAACATGTAAAGTGCTGGTCCCATGTTTCATGAGCTGCAATAAAAGAGCCCAGATATTTCCATAGGCACAATTTTATTTCTGAAAAACAATTTTTTTTTGTTTACATCCCTTTAGTGAGCACTTCTTCTTTGCTAAGATAAACCATCCACCTGACAGGTGTGGCATATCAAGAAGCTGATTAAACTGCATGATCATTACACAGGTGCACCTTGTGCTGGGGACAATAAAAGGCCACTCTAAAATGTGCAGTTTTGTCACAACACAATGCCACATATCTCTCAAGTTTTGAGGGAGCGTGCAATTGGCATGCTGACTGCAGGAATATCCACCAGAGGTGTTGCCAGATAATTGAATGTTAATTTCTCTACCATAAGCGTCCTCCAACGTAATTTTAGAGAATTTGGCAGTACGTCCAACCGGCCTCACAACCGCAGACCACGTGTAACCATGCCAGCCCAGGACCTCCCCACATCCGGCTTCTTCACCTTTGGAATCGTCTGATACCAGCCACCTTGACAGCTGATGAAACTGTGGGTTTGAACAACCGAATAATTTCTGCACAAATTGTCAGAAACCGTCTCAGGGAAGCTCATCTGTGTGCTCGTCGTCCTCACCAGGGTCTTGACCTGACTGCAGTTCGGCGTCGTAACTGACTTCAGTGGGCAAATGCTCACCTTCGATGGCCACTGGCACGCTGGAGAAGTGTGCTCTTCACGGATTAATCCCGGTTTCAACTGTACGGTTCAGATGGCAGACAGCCTGTATGGCTTTGTGTGGGCGAGCGGTTTGCTGATGTCAACAGAGTGACCCATGGTGGCGGTGGGGTTATAGCATGGGCAGGCATAAGCTACAGACAATTAAGACATTTGCATTTTATCGATGGCAATTTAAATGCACAGAGATACTGTTACGAGATCCTGAGGCCCATTGTCATGCCATTCATCTGCCACGATCACCTCATGTTTCAGCATGATAATGCACGGCCCCATGTCGCAAGTATCTGTACACAATTCCTGGCAGCTGAAAATGTCCCAGTTCTTCCATGGCCTGCATACTCACCAGATGTGTCACACATTGAGCATGTTTGGGATGCTCTGGATCGACATGTACGACAGAACATTCCAGTTCCCGCTAATATCCCGCTAATATCCAGCAACTTCGCACAGTCATTGAAGAGGAGTGGGACAACATTCCACAGGCCACAATCAACAGCCTGATCCACTCTATGCGAAGGAGATGTGCCGCGCTGCATGAGGCAAATGGTGGTCACACCAGATACTGACCGTTTTTTTTCATCCACGCCCCTACCTTTCTTTAAGGTATCTGTGACCAACAGATGCATATACAGTGGGGAAAAAAAGTATTTAGTCAGCCACCAATTGTGCAAGTTCTCCCACTTAAAAAGATGAGAGAGGCCTGTAATTTTCATCATAGGTACACGTCAACTATGACAGACAAAATGAGAAAAGAAAATCCAGAAAATCACATTGTAGGATTTTTAATGAATTTATTTGCAAATTATAGGGGAAAATAAGTATTTGGTCAATAACAAAAGTTTCTCAATACTTTGTTATATACCCTTTGTTGGCAATGACACAGGTCAAACGTTTTCTGTAAGTCTTCACAAGGTTTTCACACACTGTTGCTGGTATTTTGGCCCATTCCTCCATGCAGATCTCCTCTAGAGCAGTGATGTTTTGGGGCTGTCGCTGGGCAACACGGACTTTCAACTCCCTCCAAAGATTTTCTATGGGGTTGAGATCTGGAGACTGGCTAGGCCACTCCAGGACCTTGAAATGCTTCTTACGAAGCCACTCCTTCGTTGCCCGGGCGGTGTGTTTGGGATCATTGTCATGCTGAAAGACCCAGCCACGTTTCATCTTCAATGCCCTTGCTGATGGAAGGAGGTTTTCACTCAAAATCTCACGATACATGGCCCCATTCATTCTTTCCTTTACACGGATCAGTCGTCCTGGTCCCTTTGCAGAAAAACAGCCCCAAAGCATGATGTTTCCACCCCCATGCTTCACAGTAGGTATGGTGTTCTTTGGATGCAACTCAGCATTCTTTGTCCTCCAAACACGACGAGTTGAGTTTTTACCAAAAAGTTCTATTTTGGTTTCATCTGACCATATGACATTCTCCCAATCCTCTTCTGGATCATCCAAATGCAATCTAGCAAACTTCAGACGGGCCTGGACATGTACTGGCTTAAGCAGGGGGACACGTCTGGCACTGCAGGATTTGAGTCCCTGGCGGCGTAGTGTGTTACTGATGGTAGGCTTTGTTACTTTGGTCCCAGCTCTCTGCAGGTCATTCACTAGGTCCCCCCGTGTGGTTCTGGGATTTTTGCTCACCGTTCTTGTGATCATTTTGACCCCACGGGGTGAGATCTTGCGTGGAGCCCCAGATCGAGGGAGATTATCAGTGGTCTTCCATTTCCTAATAATTGCTCCCACAGTTGATTTCTTCAAACCAAGCTGCTTACCTATTGCAGATTCAGTCTTCCCAGCCTGGTGCAGGTCTACAATTTTGTTTCTGGTGTCCTTTGACAGCTCTTTGGTCTTGGCCATAGTGGAGTTTGGAGTGTGACTGTTTGAGGTTGTGGACAGGTGTCTTTTATACTGATAAGTTCAAACAGGTGCCATTAATACAGGTAACGAGTGGAGGACAGAGGAGCCTCTTAAAGAAGAAGTTACAGGTCTGTGAGAGCCAGAAATCTTGCTTGTTTGTAGGTGACCAAATACTTATTTTCCACCATAATTTGCAAATAAATTCATTACAAATCCTACAATGTGATTTTCTGGATTTCTTTTTCTCAATTTGTCTGTCATAGTTGACGTGTACCTATGATGAAAATTACAGGCCTCTCTCATCTTTTTAAGTGGGAGAACTTGCAAAATTGGTGGCTGACTAAATACTTTTTTTCCCCCACTGTATGTATTCCCAGTCATGTGAAATCCATAGATTAGGGCCTAATTTATTTATTTCAATTGACTGATTTCCTTATATGAACTGTAACTCAGTAAAATCGTTGAAATTGTTGCGTTTATATTTTTGTTCAGTGTAGCTCCGGTAAAATAGGTATTTAGTTTTGAACGGGTTGAGCTAGAGACAAGTGGTTTTTCTGCATTGTAAAGGTGAAAGTTGTGCAACCACAGACACAAAGCCATGCTCCATTGGTTTCTATGGTAGAGGCTGTGATGCAGATAGACTAATCAGACCTGCCTGTGCTAATGGTTCTCACAGGCGAAGTAAAATGATACAAAATGACTTTGCTTGTGATGCGCAACCCTCAAATTATACAAATGTAGCCTAACCACAGCCTGAGCACACCGGACTTGAAACAACTGTACAGATGTAACCATGTGCAATTCAATGTATTTTTTCAGAGCTGCACTGGTGCTCCCAAGTTTAAATTCCATGTGCATTCCACAGGTCTCTGACTCGTCGGGGCTTGTGCTGGCAAGCCCACTAGGGCCAGATTACGCTTGCAACATATTTTATCATCCCTCTGGATACGTCCCAAATGGCACCTTATTCTCTATATAGTAGGGCTGCACAATTAAACAATTTCACATAGAAATCACAATATTTCCATATCGCAAGAGATCCATATCGCATGCAATATTTTGAAATGCATCTCAGCCTTGTGTAACGTCCGTTTTGATAATTTACTCTTATGTCACACCAAGCTCCGCCCCCTGTCACTCAAGCGGCGCAGTTCCTCCTCCTCGCTGTTACTTTGCATGCTGTTCTGTTAGGTCAAATGCAGTCAACCTATTGTTCCAAACAATAACATTTTGCATTCCACTTTTCTTCTTTAATATAAACCAACAGGACAATGATCCAACACACCTCCAGGCTGTGTAAGGGATAATTTACCGAGAATGATGGAGTGCTGCATCAGATGACCTGGCCCCCATAATCCCCTGACCTCAACCCAATTGAGATGGTTTGGGATGAGTCGGACAGCAGAGTGAAGGAAAAGCAGCCAACAAGTGCTCAGCATATGTGGGAACTCCTTCAAGACTGTTGGAAAAGCATTCCAGATGAAGCTGGTTGAGAGAATGCCAAGAGTGTGCAAAGCTGTCATCAAGGCAAAGGGTGGCTATTTGAAGAATCTCAAATATAAAATATATTTTGATTTGTTTTACACTTTTTTGGTTACTACATAATTTCATGTGTTATTTCATAGTTTTGTAGAACATGGTAAAAATAAAGAAAAACCCTTGAAAGAGAAGGTGTTCGAAAACTTTTGACCGGTAGTGTATATTTTTTGGGGAACTCAGTCCAGCTTTCAACTTACTCTTGAAAGTTGTAATAGTAGAATGCACAAGGTGAAATTTCGAAATTGGGTAGTGCATCAGCAGATTTCCTCTTGTCATGTCAGTCATTTCATACCTTAGAGAGCTATTTATAACTCAAATGTCCAGATCAACTAGCCCATGTCACCTAATGTTTTTTTGCCCATAGATTTTGTTGTAATGTTTGAGTCACTCAAATATGACATGAATAAACATTAGACATGGCAAAATGTATAGAATTGCAGGAAATAAACAAACCTGCAACATTTTCTCACCGTCAACAAGAGGGGTGTGAACAGTTTGTCATGAACAGTGCTTGTGCCCATAGAAATAGACGTGGGGCGCGGGATGTTCCCCAATGCAGGAAGGGGGGCCTGAGTGAAAAAGTTTGGGAACCCCTGGCCCAACCTGCTTTGCAGATGAGTGATGTAGGCGCATAAGGGGATAGTACAGTAGGGCCCTGTGTGGCTCAGTTGGTAGAGCATGGCGCTTGCAACGCCAGGGTTGTGGGTTCGTTTCCCACCGGGGGCCAGTATGAAAAAATAAAATGTATGCACTCACTAACTGTAAGTCGCTCAGGATAAGAGCGTCTGCTAAATGACTAAAATGTAAAAATGTACATAGCTAGGTGGTAGGTTCTAAGAACTGCTTTAGGATTGGGCCTCTGCCATCAGCCTACCTGCTCTGCAGATGGCCCCTATTTATAACATTAGCAGCAGTGAGAGAGGCTTCCCTCCCTGTCAGTGACTTGATTTATTGACTTTGGCATATCAGCCTACCTGCTCTGCGGATGGCCCCTATCTGGGAGCCGGTGATGAGGGTGTAGTCCATGTCAGTGAGGATACGGATGGGGATGCCCCTGGTGTGGAGGGCCAGCACGGCCCGGCTCAGGTCCAGGTTGGTGAAGGCGAACACACACAGGTCCAGGGAGGAGGAGGCAGACAGGATGTGGCCCAGGAGACGGGTGAAGGAGGTGTTGACGTTGTGGGGTAAGGGACAGGGGCAGGGGCTTGGGGGGGAGAGAGGAAAGGGGGGGGGGGCATGGGAAGAGGAAGGGAAGATGATAGGGGGACAGAGGAGAGGAGGATAAGAGGGAGAGGAAAGGGGGAGAGAGAAGGAGTTACTGTGGAAGGTGGATCTACTGTATAGTAGTCACTCACTGAATAATTGTTCCTAGCCCGTAGCAAAACATCTGAAATCAATAGAAAGACTATAAAAAAAACAGCAGAATTCTTAGAGATATTGGATAGATATATTATTAATGAAAATGATGGTGAGTAGTTAAAGTTGACTGTGCCAGCATCCCAAATGTTACCCTAGGGCACTAGTATCCACTACTGGGCCCTGGTTAAAAACAGTGCACTATATAGGGAAAAGGTGCCATTTGGTACGCATACTATTACTTACAATGGTGAGTCAGGAGTGAAGAGACGCTCCGTGCAGGCGACCTCCGTGGGGAAAAAGAACACTTCTTTCAGGGGCCCCCGGGATATTTTCCGGGGCCAGAGGCGACAGAGGAGCCAGCCCAACCACTTCACACTGAGAGTGAGGGCCACAGCCCCCAGACCCACAATCTTCACCATCTGAACCACTGACATCTGTGGGCAGAGGGCCAAGTTGTCATGAAAATGTTGAATGGAAGCGCTAAATTACATACAGTAGGCCTTCCCTTCTTTCCCCCCTGCCTTTCAGCTCTTGGTTAGGATTAGCCTAGTTAGGGTGAAGTCTTGACAGCTAATGATAGTTGAGGTCTGTTGGGTATGCAAAACAGCCATTAACTTCTGAACGGTGCTCGTTTTCACCAGCTTTATGGGGACAATGACATAGCTAGCAAATAATGGAACTCTGCTGCAGCCCAGAGCAGAGGCTAGCTACTTAGCTAACTACAGTAAGTGAGTTTGTTAGCTAGGCCCATCTAGCCAGCTTATCTCTGCAAGTCTGAGCTACCTTCATGCAGTGGTTTTTTTGTAAGCACACTTTCTCAGTTCATTCCTTGCTGTGTGCTAGAATTAACTCTTATTTTAAACCACTTTAGACCTAGCTACCTTGACTTTTTTCACCGGCGAGTATCGGTCTCCACGATGGACTTTTATTTGAGTGGACGTCGAAGACGAACGCCGGCCGGTGCTCTAGATCTGTCAATCAAATTAAAACACGCAGGATATTTGCAACGTTTCCACCAATCAGGGGACAGTTGTTGAAGCGGTTGAACATGTATTATTATTTTGTGAGATGTATGATGTAGAAAGGGAGAGGTTGTTTGACAGGGTCAGAGAAGTTGGACAGGAATGGGAAGTGGGTGGTATTTTGGGTGGGGATGATGGGAGTAGTGAGGGTTGTAGGGAATTATTTTATTGTATTAGAAATTCAGGGTTAGTTAAGAGAATAGTGGTATAGATAGGTCGTGACCGGCTTCACACTCCACTACAGTAGGAAGCGGTGTATGCACCTGTCAGTTGGTTGCGATTCGCCAATAAAACTTGAAGAAGAAGACGAAAATGGTTTAATGTGAACTTCCGGTTCTGACGGCGATCTCAGGAGGAAAAATGGCGGAAGCGGATGTTCTGTTTGAATCAGATGGCGTGTCGACTGGAGAAGAACGTGAGGAGAATTGGATTACTGTGGCGGATGCAAAATGAAATAAGAGAAGCAAAGTGGTAGTGAGTCATTTTTGGCTGGAATAAGGGTTTTGGGACGATGTTGTTACCTGGAAGATCCGTTTGAAGTCTATTAAAATTGTGGATGCGTTGAATGAGGTGGAGTCGATGAGAATAACGGGAAGTGGGTTTATTTTGTGTTTCTATGGAACAGAAGGAGCATGCTTTGCGCCTCAAGAAGATTGGAATGTGTCGTGTGTGGATCTTTGAAGCAGGGCGCCTATCAAGGGTGTTATCTCTGGGGTGGCGCTAGAAGTAAATGCAAAGGCTATATGCGTGAAGAATTGGATCAAGTGGTTGGTGCACAACGACTGACCCGCATGGTAGATGGAGTGCGGAAGCCCACTCCATCCATTCTATTGTTATTTTGATGAGTCTCTCCGTTCTCACGTGTATTTGGGTTATATGAGATTCCCTGTGAGAGCCTTTGTGCCCGAACCCATGCAGTGTGATAAATGTGAATGATTTGGTCATGTGTCAAATGTTTGTAGATGGGAGGAGTATTAACATGCACCTGCATTTCTGAAGTGTCCTGTTAGTGTGAAGGAGACGGAGGTTGCATGAATAAGGGCTGTCCAGAATGTCTTCTATCCGGAGGCGTTGAGAACAGTGGAATAAAGGCGTGAAGTTGAAGAAGTAATGGTAGTTGGAGTAGAGACACAAGATGTTCTGTGTCAACCGAGGGATCCTGAGATGTTGCATGTTAAGAAGGTGGACTTTGTAGCATTTATTACTTTAGTTATCAACTACACAGCGCAAACGGAGAGGAAATCGGAGAAAATAGGCATCATTGTGAGTGCGGCTGAGGCATTGCAAGGAATCCTGTTGAAAAATGCTCCATCCTCACAGGCACCTGAGCCTGTGTAGGGATGTGACTGAACAATTGGGATGGTTGTTTTGATTATTTATTTTGTATTATCTCGTTCGGGTCCCCCCATCTCGCAATGGAATATATTATTTTTGTTTTGTTTCAATACCCCGTACAGTAGGTGGCGGCAATACACCAATAGGTGTAGTCTGCCATAAAACTTTGACGAAGAACAACTTCCGGTTCTCGTTGCTTGCTTACTTTCTCCACTAAAAAGCCGAAGCGTGTGTTTTCTTAGGAAAGGTAGCGAAACAAATATATCGTTTCATGGAACAATTATTTAATATAAGGAGCTTGATTATAGATAATGTTGTACTTTCCATTATTAATAACGAAACATTCAGTTTCATGAAACCACCGCTGGCATCAGCAAGGAGCCAAGAGTTGTTGGAGAGTTAACAGTTTATGACAACAACACACGTTGTTGTAGCTAAGCTAGCTAGCTACTTGCGCCTAGCAGGATTACATTATTAATTTACAGTTTAGAATACGTTGATTTGATTGAACGACTGCGATCTATTCAGTTACAAAGTTGCATTATTTGTAATTGATGTACATTTGCTCAACAGAGTTTAGCGAACTAACTAGCTAACCTTACTGTACACGTGAAGACTACCTAATATGGGTCGCCGCAAGTCCAAGCGAAAGCCCCCTCCAAAGAAGAAGCTTACTGGAAATTTGGACACTCAATTCACCTGTCCATTCTGCAATCACGAAAAGTCCTGTGATGTGAAAATGTAAGTAACAAAGTACAGTATGGCTACCTCCCAAATGGCAAATCAAAACCATCGCGCTCTCCCAAAAGCTTGGCGGGTGGTGCGTAAAACCCGCGAATTCAGACAAAAAAAAGAGGTGTAATGGGTTCGCACTCAAAATTATGTCGCATAAAGCTTACTAAATTATTCGATGTTTTAAAATGTTTACTGCATCAGGGATAGTGTACATAGAAGTTTCGGCTACACAGACGTGACATCCCAAATTGCACCCTATTCCATACATACTGCACTACTTTTGACCAGAACCCTATGGGCACTGGTCAAAAGTACACTACGGGCATTAATATGGAGTTGGTCCCCCCTTTGCTGCAAAACAGCCTCCACTCTAATGGGAAGGCTTTCCACTAGATGTTGGAACATTGCTGCAGGGACTTGCTTCCATTCAACCACGAGCATTAGTGAGGTCGGGGACTGATGTTGGGCGATTAGGGCTGGCTCGCAGTCAGCGTTCCAATTCATCCCAAAGGTGTTCGATGGGGTTGAGGTCAGGTCTCTGTGCAGGCCAGTCAAGTTCTTCCACACCGATCTCGACAAACCATTTCTGTATGGACCTCGCTTTGTGTACGGGGGCTTTGTCATGCTGAAACAGTAAAGGGCCTTCCCCAAACGGTTGCCACAAAGTTGGAAGCACAGAATCATCTAGAATGTCATTGAATGCTGTACCATTAAGATTTCCCTTCACTGGAACTAAGGGGCTTAGCCTGAACCATGAAACAGCCCCAGACCATTATTCCTCCTCCACCAAACTTTACAGTTGGCACTATGCATTGGGGCAGGTAGTGTTATCCTGGCATCCGCCAAACCTAGATTTGTCAGTCGGGCTGCCAGATGGTGAAGCGTGATTAATCTCTCCAGAGAACGCGTTGCCACTGCTCCAGAGTCCAATGGCGGCGAGCTTTACACAACTCCAGCCGACGCTCGGCATTGCACATGGTTATCTTAGGCTTGTGTGCGGCTGCTCGGCCATGGAAACCCATTTCATGAAGCTCCTGACGAACAGTTCTTGTGCTGACGTTGCTTCCAGAGGCAGTTTGGAACTCGGTAGTGAGTGTTGCAACCGAGGACAGATGGTTTTTACGCGCTTCAGCACTCTGCAGTGCCATTCTTTGAGCTTGTGTGGTCTACCACTTCACGGCTGAGCCGCTTCACGGCTGAGCCGTTGTTGCTCCTAGATGTTTTCACTTCACAATAACAGCACTTACAGTTGACCGGGGCAGCTCTATCAGGGCAGACATTTGCAGAACTGAAAGGTGGCATCCTATGATGGTGCCACGTTGAAAGTCACCGAGCTCTTCACTAAGGCCATTCTACTGCCAATGTTTGTCTATGGAGATTGCATGGCTGTGTGCTCGACTTTATACACCCGGGTGTGGCTGAAATAGCCTAATTTACTAATTTGAAGGGGTATCCACGTACCTTTGTATATACAGTGTAGTTCACTAGAGGGTAATGCACTACAGGCTGTAACTCTTACATTTTAATGACTTAACTATTTATTCATGCTTTGTGTTTTAACTTCCCTTTCTTGCCAACAGGGAAAGGACCAGAAATACTGGGATAATATCATGCACAGTTTGCCTGGAGGAGTTCCAAACCCCCATTACCTGTATCCTTTGAATGCTGATCAAGTCTATTGAACTCAGACACAATAACTGTTGTTGTTATCACATTTGGTACGTTTACATGCACACTAATAATTCAATATTAAACTGATTATGGCAGGTTATGCAATAGTCGTATAAACACCTTACTCTTCTTATCTTGATCTGCGTAAGGTTACAATCGTAGTAAGCATAAAACAACTGCTTTTCTGAGCAATCTTTCTAATTATTAGGACGGTGTATTTGATCTGCACATATGCTAACACCAGCCAAGCGAGCCTCCCTCTTTAGCGCGAGTGAAGTGAGTTCGGAACAACTGAATGTACGCGTCTTAGGGACTTACCTGGAGGAAATCGGATCTCTCTGAAATAAAAATGGATTGCCCTCCCTTCAGTAAAATAATATTTTTACCCAACCCACCCTGAACACTTAAAAAAAAGTAAGTGACCCCTATACCCAAATTAATAATTAAAACATAAAGTGGATTGCAGAGAACATGCCTACTGTTTACCCTCACTCCTAGGACAGACCAGAGCCATAGATATGCAGTTTTAGAAACTGTTCTTCATTTTGTAAGGATTACATGGCAAAGCAGCCAGAAGGTTGTGGATTCACAGACCACCACTGACAAGAGGGGTGAAAATATAGCCATTATAATAAAAGCACTGCATGAATCTATCTTATTTGTGGTTTGAGAAAAAATTACCTCTTATAAACGCATTTCATGCAATTCTACGTAATTTTACATAATTGGAGACAAGCAGAATCTTTTTTAATATCACAGAGCATGACAACAAATGAGCGCATGCTGCAGCACCGGATACTTTTTTATTTCTATACAGGCTATTGTTAAAAAAGAGGATAGTCTTAAGTTTGGAACAATGCTGAAGTTGTCTATCAACAGTAAATATTGAGCACAACAGAATCAGTTACAACGGAAGTATCTGATCATCAATGAATTAGAGAAAAAGCCATTCAATGTTTAACACAGCAGCCATATCATCAGTTAGGCCTATATGCACTTGTAAACCATTTTCATTTGGGAAACTATCATTTTCAAATGTATTCTGTTTATTCCATGATATTGTTGTTACAAAATAGATGTGTGTTGACTGTGATTGGGCATGGGAATATAAGAGCATCTGATAGGCTAAATTAACAAACTAGGCATGCATAGCTCACAGCATGATCCTCAAACCAAAGACTGGCCAAACTCGTGTTTCTAAAAGTGAATTACAAGGCACTGTAGAATGACTGTATAGCCTAATAAGGCATTTTTTGTTTCATTATTATTTAATTCTAAGTAATAATTGTAAATATTGTATACAGCATAAATGCTAAATGTATAGACATGTTGTTGAAGTGCTGTTGTTGAAATGCTAAGCTCTCCTGCCAGTCTGTAGCGTGTCACAAATGCTTCACAATGTGTTTCTTAAATGGCAGGCTGTATTCCCTGTCTTCTTTCTCTATGACACGAATTATGACCTGTAGGCGTGTGTGCAGAGGCCCGTCGGTCGGAGGCGTGGCCAGTTTGAGCGGGCCCAAATCCGACGTAACAAGAACAGCCACAGACACAGAACTCTACCAGGGGTTGCTAAAACGGCTGTCATCAAAACGCACTTGAACTCACCCTACTGTCCGAGTGCTTAGCTTACAGAAACGTACCACCTCTATTGCATATGCAGACAAACTCATCCACCGCGTGAACCTTATCATGACACCAACGAGAGCTGGGATCCAAATTCACAGCGCGTCTGCCATGATGTTTATAAAACTCAGCGGACCCCCTTGCGCAGTGGAACTCAGAACGATACGTGAACATTGCTTTCCTTTCAGCAGCGAGATTCGAAGGGCGCTCAAATCGCTCAAAATAACCCTCATCAAGATGTAGCCTACTTATCACTTGTTATTATTACTAGTAGAAGATTCTCACTTTTCACAGTGGTGCTCGTTTAGTAACATTAGATCAAAGCTAAATCAATGTCTCGCAAGAGCCCATAATGATTAATTGGGATTTGACATAGCAGATCCAAATATAGTAGCATATAAGCCTATAATCTTACACCAAAAACACCTCCGCAGTCATTTCTTATCTGACGCTAAATAGTCATATTTTCCTCACGTGGCCAAAACGGAACAGTTTGCGCACCGCAGGCAATGCTTTGATTGATACAAAATAGTCTTACAAGAAATGCTAATAGTTTAACACCATCTGCTTTAATTTGCTCGCAAAACAGTTATTCAAGAAGATCTATATGCATATTCCCATGAAACTGATTGAAATCAAATGATTGGCATGCAGTTTGGACATTTCACTAGTAAAACGTGCAGAGTTCTAATTCCCGATGGACAGTGATAATGGCCTACTAGGTATGCCTAACTTGGTGTTTGAGGGTATTAAAAATAGAACATGTTCTTGAGACGATGTTGTGGGCATATAGGCAGACGTTGCAATTGGAGGATGCATTTTATGCACCTATTCTTAAATGATATTAAATCTGTCGGTACAAACGTTGAGAAATTATGTCATCAAATTTTTTTTGGAAAAGTAGCTGCTGCCTTGGCAACAGCTAATGGGGATCCGGAATAAAATCCAATAGAAATACCTCTGGTCCTCAACTTCACGCTGTCCCTCTCAAACTGAACAGGACATCAGCAGGCCTAGTCGGCACTCACAGACATTGCATTTTTTGACAAATTGACTCGCCTCCTGAAGTGACAGCGTACACAGCACAGCCATTGGTTAGGCAGCACAAACACAGCACAGCCATTGGTTAGGCAGCACAAAAGGGTTACATCAGCAAGAGCAGGGCAGGGTGGGGCTCATGATTGGGAACGCCTATCCATTACAGTGTAGCCTAGTTTTATATACACCATCCCAGCAGTGCAAAAACACGGGAAGGAAGTACATTTTATTAGATATATAACTTTGCCCTGTGCTTCTCCTAGCATGCTCTATAGTATAGTATAGTATAGTATAGTATAGGCTATGGGTCATTTGATTGAGCTACCATACACTTGATATTGCGCGCCCAGCAGAGAATCAGGGTGGGGGGGCATTATTGGGCACAAATGAGATACTATAATAAGCAACTAATTCTTAAACCCTGAGAAATATGACATTTAGTAAATTACAAATGACATGACCCTCCCCTGGACTAAATGTAAAAAATACTAAACCATCTTCCGCCGGATAACTATTGTGTACATTTCGATCTCTCCTTTAGAAGTCGTTTTCACATACACATTTGATATGTTTGAACTCAGAATCAAATATGCTTCCCAAAAATAACATGGTCGCTGTGGCAGAAGGTTTATTTTGATTGCTTCTTTTCTCATTTATCAGAGTGCCAACAGGTAGCCTGGTTTCAGATGTGTCCATGTAAACGGGATCGAACAACACAGGTATCTTTTGGTTATCACTATGGCAACAGCCTCCAGGAACAATAAAAAACACAATATTTACATCTTACAGTTAAATGAGAAGGAATTAAACAGCAAAACATTGAAATCAAACTATTATATTAATCGGACTATCCATAATAATCGCATTGTGTGCATGTAACCATACTAATTGATACATAATCAATAAGGCTGCAGCAGTTGTAATTTCCTAATGATGTAATGCCTCATTTCATTGGATTGGCTCTTATGATAATATTGTTTCTAGGTATTTTAACATCAGGAATGCAAACAGCCCAGTTACACAGACTATAAGTTGCTCTGGATAAGAGCGTCTGATAAATGGCTAAAATGTAAATACTGCCATGACTAGACACAGTTGCATGCAGTCGCATTTTCTCCAATCTCCTGTTGCTAACATCTTCTGGTTGAGTGTATATAAGTTCTATATCCTTACCTTACTCTCTAAGATCTGTCAGAGCCTGTGGATGTGTACAGTGATTGGATAGACGCTTGTGAAGCAGCCAATCAGTAGCTCAGGCTCACCGGGGCTGAAGACATCACATTGGAACAGGAAGCTGATTAGAGGTGGCTCTCGTCTGCTTCTCACCAATCACTGCCCGTCTACAGCCCAAGATAATGGTCCCGTTCCAGGCCGACTACATTGCAGACGTTGCATTGCATCAACCAAGTGTTGCGTGCCATGTCGTCAACTGCAGTTGGGCATCATATTGCTATATGATGTCGTGGTTAGCTGATATGTGAAACAACTATCAAGTCGTTGTGAGATCTGGCAGATGCCTGCAATGTAGCGGCCTCCGACCCTTACCTCACCACACATCTCCCACACTAGTGACCTGGCGTCCACCGAGACGGTCAGACCAGTCTGTCTTGCATAGCTATAGTTCAGTCCAGAGACATATATAGGTAGCGTCCCAAATGGCACCCCGTTCCCTATGTAGGGCACTACTTTTGACCAGCTCCCATAGGGCTCGGGTGGACAATAGTGCACAATATTGGGAATAGGGATGCAGCCATAGAGGTATATATGACTGGTTAAGTCAACCTATTCCCCTACTCACCGTTTGTTTTAATTTATACAGACCTCTCATCTTACAAGCTGTCAGTCGTCATGGCTCCTAGTTTACTGGTCGGATTATACAGTTAGTAGCTGCTGTGGGGTCAGTTTTTGTTTCACCACAATTCATTTTTACTCTCCCCCGTGTACAGTTCTAGAGATACCCCATTGGAATGACCCAACACTGTGGTATTGTGTATATTCGGTGTAACTCTTGAGTGTGTTTTTATGCAGAGTAACTTGTCACTAGTGGGGTGTTCCAGAAAGCAGGATCGTTAAGTTAGCCAGCTAACTTTGATATGCAGTTAAATATATCTCTTCATCTTTTTATTTAGAAAGCTAAACTTGAATAAGGGTTGTTGTTGGTTGTCAAGTCAATTATACCATGAGAATTTCAAGTTTGATTTTTTGGGACAGTTAGCTGGCTAAGTCATTGATCCTGCTTTCTGGAACAGTCCAAACACTCAAGTAGTTTTATGTCAAGTGGTTTATGAAATATTTTCTATGAATATCCAAGGTCCTTTTTCTAAATGATA